GTTGTTATTTTGTTTTATAATAATTGTATAATTTACTTATTGGACTTTTTATCAGTCTTTTTTTAAGAGAAATTTTAGGGTGCATTTCTCATTTGTGATCCACCGTTGGAATAAATATTTTTAATCATTAAATTAAATTTTTAACGGTTAGATTTATACATATTTATATTAAAAATTTACAGCACGCAACACACATAACTGTTACTGGACATTCTCTTTTTCAATAACATACTTTATTTGTGTTTAAAAAAGAATACTTTTATTACATTCAAAATACATTTTTTCTTCTTTGTTTTATTAAAGTATGAAAATTTCTACAATTTTTCCTTTTGGGTTGTGGGTCGTTTAAAACAAAAGGAGCAAACGTGGAGGAAAAAAGAAAGATGGATCATGTACCGGCCTCACTTCATTCAGAGGGAGAAAGAATAAATAGTTGGGATCAATACAATTATAGCAGAACGTTGGGATCAATACAATTGTAGCAGAACGAGGACAACGATGAAACTCATACGAAAAAAAACACAAAAAAGAAGATAGAAGATATTAAGACTTTGTTCATTTCACTGTTTTGAGTTTATAATTCGAGTTTTGCTACAGTAAAAAGTTCTCAGAAACAGTCACGTCTAACTTTTTTGTTACAGTAAAAAATTCTCATACAAAGTCACATCTTAATTCAAATTAAAAACTCGAATCAACGAACTAAACGGGCCCTAAGAAAATAAAATAGACAAAAAATAAATAAATATACAAAAATTTATAATTAATTAGTAAAGAGAGCTTATAGATTTTAAATGCGAAATTACACTAAATTAACATTCTGAAAACACCCCTAATTAAAAAGAAAAGAAAATCTTAAAATTTATTACGGCTCTCTCTACACTCTCTCTTCTTGATCTCTCTCTATCGTCGTATCCACAAATCTCGTGCCACATACATTGTAAATTAATAATTCACTAACATACCATATAGTGTTTTTTGGTAAATCTTAGATTTATATTGTAAATTCACGATTTATAAATAAACACAATAAGTATTTTGATGGTAAATCTTAGATTCATAATGGAAACCCAAGATTTATGAAGGAATAAAAATTGTGTTCTGATGGTAAATTCTGGATTTATCAAATGGTAAATTCATGATTCACAATTAGAACACAAAAATGTTTTCTTAGATTTTTGAGCAAATTAAAAAATGTTCAATTATATTAGTAAAGTTAATGTAATTCACTAACAGTAAATCTTGGTTTTACAATTTAAACCTTGAATTTACGAATAATAATACGTGTTCTGATGGTAAATTAAAGATTTATGAAATAACAGAAGTTGTGTTTCTAATAGTAAATTTTAGATTTAATTAACAAAGATATACAATCTTATGCCTCGTTCATTTCACCGATTCAAGTTTTCAGTTCTAGATTTCTACAGTAAAAAAACTCTTAGAAAATATCACATCTAACTTTTTCTACTACAGTGAAAAACTCTCAAAAAATGTCACATCTCAACTCAAATTAAAAACTCGAATCCGCGAAGTGAACGAGGCCTTAGTTCTAATGGTAAATCTTAAATTTACGAAAAGAACTAAAAAATATTTATCTTATGCTAATAAAAATATAATCCAATAATAGTAAATGTTGAATTTACACTTTAAATATAGAATTTACAAATAAACACATTACGTGTTTTGATGGTAAATTATATATTTATCACACTTTTAAATTTGTAATTCGTGATCTATGAACAAATTTTTTATGGTAAATTTTAAATTTACAACACTTTCAAAACCAACACTACGAACAACTTCAATAAAACAAAACACAAATGAGAAAGGACAAAACCTGTATATTAAGTAAAAATTAAGCATTCCTTCAGTAAAAAGAAAGAAAGAAAGAAAAGAACAAAAAACAAAGAAAGGGAAAAGAAGAATATTTTTTTTCCTTTTAAGTTTCTTTTAGAAGTTATGGATGCATATCAATTCATCATGGGGATCAATTTACATGATATTCCAGCTTGTTGACAATATCGTCATCTCTAAAATCAAACTTTCTTTCAGAGAAAAAAAAAAAAAAAGAAGAAAGAACATAAAGCAAAGGAAGAATAAAAATAGAGAATATATACATACATTAAAACTCGATGAAGCATTCTCATCTTGCTCCATTACTCGGTGAAGAAAAAAAATTTATTAGAGTTTAGGAGGAAAAGTTAGAGTAAATGATCGTATAATATCCTTTAAAAAATGAAAAAACTCTCAACAGTTTTTGTTCTTCAAGTTCATACTTGACGTGGAGAAGAAATTGCTCACTAATCATATGGTTCAAGTCATTCAAACCAGCAACAAAAATTCAAATGGAAAAATTTAGTCAAAAAATAGGAAAGTAAATCTTTTCGATAAACCCCTTTTTACATGTGGAAAATACTATGGTGTACATAAAGGTATTTATGAAATTATATGAAATTTTAATTTCAGAAAGAAAATATATTTTAATTTTTAAATATGTTGGGGCGCTTTTTTCAAGAGAAATTTTAGGTTATTTTCCTTGTGATGATTACATTAGATGGCAAAATTTCATTCGAAATTTAACAAAACTTTCAGAATATTATAAATATAACAAAAATGACAAAAGTATTATCATAATGATGCCACATTTTGTATTGTATAATAATATAGTCATTATTCTAATGATATTAAAATTTTACTTTTTTTATAATATTTTAAAAACTTTTGCTATATTTAAACTCTATCGTTGAAATTTTACTAAATGCTAAAGAGTCCTATTTCCTTTGGAATATAGATAATCTTGACAAATAATTCTTTAAAAATGTATGAATCAAAATTTTTATCTTTTATTTTTAATTCATAATTTTTTTAGTTAAATAATTATACTAATAAAATGTATAGTAAGAATAAGGGGTAAATGTCTCTAATTTTTTTCTCAGAAGGGTTAAACACGGGCCCATATTTAGAGTCCACTTAGTAAAGGTCCATACTACAGCTAGTTGGGCTTCAATCCCGAAATGTAGGTTGGGCGGCATACGCTTGTTAATAATCACTAGTGATAAGACGACTTCCCGTTTTGACTCAAGAGCGGAACTTAAAAACTGTGATTTTTTTTTCTTTTGATAGAAACTATGAATCTACCTTGCACTATATTTCTTTAAGGTAATTGACCTAGTAGAATATTTCTCATTTAGTTCGTTGATTCGAGTTTTTAGTTTGAGTTGAGATGTGACTTTATATGAGAGCTTTTTATTATAATAAAAAAGTTAGATGTGACAGTTTTTTAGAGCTTTTTATTGTAACAAAACTCAAATTTTAAACTCAAATCAGTGAAATAAACGAGGTCGACTTTATGATTTCAAGCTCTAACAACAAATTACTTCTTACTCGCCCCTAAAAAAGTTTCAGTAGAAGAAAAAACCTTAAATAAAGTCTGTACGAGGAAAGACAGTCGAATCATCAACAAAAGTAGTAAAGCACACACACTACACTGGTGTGTCTAAGGCAAAAATTACACAAATTATGTTCCCAGCAAAACGCAACTCAGTTTGATCTGCTTGGAGATTCCCAAAATGCGAGGAAGGGTTAGAGTGTTTGAGGTACCAGTGACGACAATAGCAGAGGACGGAGGTTTGACGTCACGAATGGAGACCAGTAGGCCGCGAGCTCTTCCTTCTACATTGAACTATGATGGTTGCCCACTGAGGTCACCGAACCGATCGGTTCCCCGCAATGTTTCCCGTTTTGAAGGGGGACCCAAAAAATGCAGATGAGGGTCTAAAATTGGGGGTTAGGGTTTCAGAACTGAAATTGGGGGAAAATAGATATGTAATGAATTGTGGGCATGGGATCGAATGGTTATAACATTGAAGGAGCAGATGGTGGTAATCTATGGTCAAAAGATTTATGAAATCTAGATTCTCGCTTAGAGGAGAAGCACGTGAAATGTCGGTGTAGAAAGAATACCTTAAAGAGAGAAAGCTTCAACAGACAACGCAATCATGGACAAATCTTTACTGTTTGCTCAAGCGAGGGTCAAGAATCAACACTGTAGAAGTGCAGGAGAGTTAACTTAAGTAAATAGAGAAGGATGAACTCAAAAATAGGTAAATAACTTAAATTAATTTTCAAATTTAGTTTTGAAGAAACAAACGTCGAACGCGAACTTGAACCTAGTTCATCACGCGGGTGGACTTTTCTCGAGTAAGTTTGTGCAAGTAAACGGGGTCAGTTCCCAAACTACCATCCAACCTACTCTTCAATATAAATAAATAAATAAAAGAACCGCCACGCAAAAGAATGAATGCTGAACATGCATATTTCCTTTGGCATCATTTGCTTCTTAGACTCAGACTCTCAGAGCAAGGGAAGTAATCGGTGCAGTGGGTCCCACCACTTTTTGTGCGATGAAATTTATCAACAGCTTAATCAGCCACCACAATTGTAGTGACTAGTGGGCTCCACCAGCTGTAAGGTCGTCACCTTAGAACCAAACCAAAGCACTTTTAATGGTACACATTAGGACTTGTTTACTTCATACGTTGACTATTAATTTTGATATTTTAAATTTAATTATTTTAAAAAAAAAAACATTGTGATAAAATTAAAATAATAAATTTAAACACATTAAGTAGACGGATCTTTACACTAATTTTTGGTGTTCCGTTTGTCAAACTCTACTTAGTGTTTTTTTTTTCTTTTTTGATAATTAAACTCTACTTAATGTTGTCGTAAATATGTGTAGGCCAAATGTCTCAATCGGTGAAGTGTGAACATCCACAAGTCTAATTAGACAGAAGTTTCTGTGGTATCACAGAAAACCCTACTAGTAATCATTTGGAAATTTCTTGTTATCTCGTTATCTCTTTGGAATTATTAATTATTATAGGATTTGTCCTGTCTCTTCTTTGCGTTCTCTCTTGATTCCCACTCTACCTAATTAAACTTTATGTGAATATATAGAGATATATATATATATAACACTCACACACAACAAAGAAGAAGAAGAAGAAGAAGAAGAAGAAGAAGAAATGGGTGGAGGCAATGGTCAAAAGTCGAAGATGGCACGAGAGAGGAATACGGAGAAGATGAAAGCAGCGGCTAAAGGTATATTCTCTTTTGTAAGAAAAGCTTGTGCTAAGTTCATTTTGTTTCAGCTATAGGAAAAGAAGCAATCAAGCTTAACTCTTTGCGATTTGTTTCAGTTCTGAATCTTATGCGTTTTCAGTTAATTTTTTTCTGAAAAGGTCAATAGAAGTTAGGCAAGTGTCGCACCGAGGTCAGTTCTAAAGGAGTTTTCCATTTTCTTCCGCAATACCCAAAATTGAGAAAGGAGAGCTAATTGTTCCTATTTAAAAAGAAGACTCAATTTTCATTTTTATGTCTCTTTCTTCATTTTTTTTCCCACAAAACGAAAAGGAAGTAATTGCCTTTTTCTGCCCTTTAATTCTTTTAGTTTGTGTTTCCTTCATAGTATAATCTGAATATACTGACAATTACGAGTATTTTCCTTGTTTTTACTTTTGGTAATTTGTCTTTTTTTTTTTTCTTTTTTTCCTTTTCTTTTCTGTTGGGCTCGCAGGAAGTCAGCTTGAATCAAACAAGAAGGCAATGACTATCCAGGTAAGTTTTCCTTTTGTTAAGCCTCACATCAATGCCGCACAACTGGAAAATAAAATAATCTTTACCCAATTGCTTTCAAAGTTGAAATAGTGAAGTTTGGATGCTACAATGTGGATTTTGAGACATATTAAAGCTAATTTGGAGCACAAATGAATTATATATTTTGGTGTTTGGTCTCTTTTATTATGTTTCTAATGAATGGTGAGCGATGGTTGCAGTGCAAGGTATGCATGCAAACATTCATGTGCACAACTACCGAGGTGAAGTGCAGAGAACATGCAGAAGCAAAACATCCCAAGTCCGATGTTTTCACATGTTTTCCTCATCTTAAGAAATGACATCATCAATTATGTACATAGAAAAAGAGCTCGTTTGTGTCTGAAAGCTTCATCTTTCATAATTTCACCCGCTTGCTTATATTTGGAAGTTTCTAAAATATTTGATGTCTTTGCAAACTCTTGCCTACGAACTGTACTTGTGGATGTTATTTTAGAATCTTTCAACTATGCATTAAGAATATGCTTGTTGAATAAAGAATGTGCTTTTGTTTCAACTTCAGTGTATTTATACCTATCACTCTAAAAGATATTTGTAATCATGGGTTACAAGGAGATGAAATTCATAATAAATTATAATGTGTTTCAATGCATAATGTTATTTTAAATTAACATTATAATATGCTCCAATTATGACATAATGTTATTTTAAATATTGAATCTTTGTACGATAAGGAGATGAAAGTCATGCTAAACCATGAAGGCATTACAAGGGACGACAACGCAAGCAGTAGTCGAATGCATGTAAATACACAATAATAGTGTAATAAATCTCTTCTTTTTTTTTTTAATTTTTATTTTAACATGAACTCTTGGCAAGCAAGTTATCTTTTTTCTATTACAAGTTGAGGAGATCATTTCAGAAAAAGGAAAAAAAAAAAAAAAAATTCAAAAGGACAAAATAGAACAACAAAAAGTTTGAACTGTTAAATTGTGGCTAAAATTGTGTCTTTATCTACAGTAAACTCGTTCAGATTTCTATTATAAGTTAAAAATAGATGGACCTTTTAACATTAATTATTTGGGGTGTGTGTGCGCGGGGAGCCTGTATTGTATTGTATATAAAAAATTATAGATTATATCTCTTTAAGTACATGACTTATGAAAAATATCATTTTAAAAAATTCTATGCGCCGGGAGCCTGTATTGTATTGTATACAAAAAATTATAAATTCTATCTCTTTAAGTACATGACTTATGAAAAATATCATTTTAAAAAATTCTACCACGTGACTAGTTCTAATATAAAAAGGTAAAAATATATAAACTAATATAAAAGGGTAGAAATAAGAGGGGTTACATTTCAAGGGGTACATGGGGTTTAAATGTTTTTTTTTTTTTAAATTGGGTTAAAATTAAATTTTTCAAAAGTTTAAAGGTCAAAATATAAATTTTAAAAAGTTTTAGAGTCAAAATATAATTTTATAAAATTTTAAGATCAAATGTAATTTTTAAAAAAATTACAAGGTCAAAATGTAATTTTTAAAAATATAAATTTGCTTTGTGACCCTCAATTTTTAAACAACTATAAGCTCCGGCATAACTCTACATCAACCCAACCCTAACTTCTAGTCGTACCTAACCCTAACATGAATCATAAATCCACCTTAAAATAATAAAAGAACTACTATAAAAATGACCGCATTTAATAGTACGACATATATCATATTAATTTATCATTTATATTAACTTATATAATACGATGTCACACGTAATATTATATTATTATATTATCATACAACACTGTATTATATTATTATTATACAATATGGTACGATCAAACAAACATGCTCTAAAAGTAATGCACTTGTGGCAATAACTGAAACCCAAGAAGACTTTCATGTCAACGTTGCGTCAAAAATACAACATAAGCTCGGGAAAAAAATTTATGAACATCAGAATAATAAAATTAAGAAGACTGATGGATGACATTTTCAAGGAAAAGATGTCATGTAGCGACCATTAAGCCCAAAATGAATGGCCTGGACGGAGTCTAAATTCACTAAAACACAACTGAATAAGAAGTCATAATTACTGCGTCCGGATCCTGCTATTTTCTGCACTTCTCACCTGGAAGAAGTATGGATGAGCCTGCAAGAAAAAAAAAAATTATTAAAAGAAATTAACAAGATAGCGTTACACCATAATGGCAGAAGTCACCTCACATAAGTTCAAAGAGAAATGAAAGTTGACAAAGCCGGTGAAGCGATCAAACATTACCATTGCTTCTCTGGCCGTAAGCCTGTCTTGATGATCATAACGAAGAAGCTTATCCAGAAAATCAATGGCCTGCACGTTAAGAGGGGGAAGAGCCAATCAATAAAGTAGGAAAATGATAAATGACCCAGCTAATGCTAATATGCTAAAGTTATCAACATAAAATAACCTCCGGAGAAACAAGATGCTGGTTGTCTGCATTAATAAACTTAGACCAAGGCTTCCTGCTGTGCCTGTTTAGAGTTGAAAACAAGAAGAAAATTTCTTGGACGCGTCGCAGAATTTCTGGAAAAATAAAGACCATTCAAGTAGCATGATTGGAAGATAATATAAAGGAGACATACCTTCCAACGAGAGCGTCGAGCTGAGGATCAAGCACGAGATGATACTTGTTCAAATATGCATTTAATTCGTCCGTTCCCAGAACCTGAAGAGATCGTCTAGATATAATTAGCTATCAAACAAAATATTTACAGCATGTGAAAACGATAGATCACTATTATTTTCTGACAACTTCATGAAACCCCAGGGAAGGTCTAACATTCAACATTCAAAGCTTCATGACTATTGTATGATTTCAGAGCTATCACGCCAAGAACTGTGAGAAAGATTGCTGCAATGATAGGAAAAGGAACAAAGGCACCCTCAATAATTGCCCAAAAAGAGAGTGTAAGGTGGTGTAATGACATTAACCAAGTCTATGCAAAAGCAAGAACAAGATTCCAAATACCAAGATTCTGTCTAGTCATCCTGCTAAGATAAATATCAGACAACTATATTTTCGTCATATAAATGAATTTGAGCACTTTTTGTGAGAAAATGTGGCTCAGAATAGCAAAACTGTCAACTCGAGTATAAAATGACAATTACCCTAGCAATTTTGACTAGCTGGTCGTGATTGTCATGACCATAAAAGAATGGCTCCTTGCGAAAAATCTGCAAGGGAAGAAGAAACCATGAGAAGTTCATCATGGTGAAGAAGAACATACTATGAATTTCACGTAACTAAGATACACAGTAAATAAGACAATAAGACATCATATATCTCTCACCATTCCAGCAAACATACAGCCAACACTCCACATGTCCAATGAATAGTCATAGTCTTGCAAATCAACAAGGAGTTCAGGGCCCTTAAAATACCTTTAGAACATGATAAATGGTTAACTTTTCTGTAACGACATGAACATATAGCGCACTGTGGACACAAATCCCAACCCTTTATGAAAAAATTCTACCAGGTAAAGTTACAACCAGAAAATTAACATTGAACAACGCTCAATGATTTAGGAGATGATACTGTAAAGCACTTTTAATTTTACATTGAGAAATGGAAAACATATGTGTTGAAGACGAAAAATTGACTACCACAAATTCAATATATCCCATCAACTAACATATTTGAAAAACGAAGATTAAATTTCACAGAAGAAATACACTGATTGCCTATGTACTCTATTTGCACCTTTGACCACTCTAAAAGCAGTTTTCAACATAAAATCAAAATGCAAGTGATGTGGAACAAACAAAATAGGAATAATTAGAAGTTCAAATTAAATATTTATCTATTATGATAATTTAGACTACTTGAATTCATGGTTGTGTTTATCCATTGACTATTATGATTATTTAGGATTTTTCTAAGTTACTTGATTACTTGGTTATGTTCATCCTACTATTAGGTTTTAGGAGTATATATAAATAGAGATGATATTTGTATTTTTCAGTTAATACTTTGATGATGCATTGATAAAGAAATTTTCTCCCTCTTATTCTCTTTTCTCTCCCTCTTCTTCTATTTCTTCCCTCGATTCTTCCCTTCTACTTCATCCCTTTCTCTCTCTATTTATTTAATCATCAGTATCATTAAGTTTGGAAGTATCTAATTCTTCCCCTCTTCCCTCAATTCTTCCGACATCAGTAAGTTTTGAAGTTATTTGATAAAATAATGTGAAACCAGTATCATTATTCAAGGAAAATGATTCTGATTAGTTAGGCAGATAATAAGTCAAATTTAGTATGGCACTGAAATACCAATGGGACCCTTTTTACTGTAACATTCTTCATACATATAATTAAAAAAATTTAAACGCGTTTTTCAATATCTCATCTTTCGGTATCCTCTGCAGCATCAAGATTATCAGACTCTCACGGTTTCTTTCCCAGGGAAAAACTGACAGCTAGTATAAAATATAAAAGGGAACCGAACTATTTTGCCTGATTTGACTTTAAAAAAGAAAAATCAATGAAGCCTGTGAAATTACCTTGAAGCTACTCGCACATTGTACTCTTTTCCAGGATGGTAGAATTCAGCAAGGCCCCAATCAATCAAGCGAAGCTTTCGTAGCTCATGATCAATCATAACATTGTGAGGCTTGACATCTCTGTGCATTATGCCTTGTGAATGGCAGTAATCTAGTGCCTGTTATTACATGTTCACACAATGTAAAGATGCAAGAACTGATTGCCACAGTTGCCAACATTCGCAATATAACCTACACACCATTTTTCATAGACTTTAAATGCTATGTATTTGCAACAAGACCATATGAAACAACCTTGAGAAGCTCATATATATAATAGCGAATGTCATAATCCGTCAGTACGGGGTACAGAATTTTGAAGTCTGTACTGTTCACGTGTTCAAAGATCAAGCTGGGAGTTTTAGAATGCTGATCTCTAACAATATCAAGCAACTTCACAATATTTGTCCCTCCACAAAGATTCTGCAGTATCTTTATCTCCCGCTTTATCTGCACGAACACCAACTCGTTATGGCATTAAAGTGCAAAACGACTCCCCAAAACAATGTATTAAGAACATGAAACAAATACAAAATCAAAGCTTAAGAATATCAGACCTTCTTCTTCTTTACGGGTTTGAGGATCTTGATAATGCATTTCTCATTGTTGGTGACATTTATGCCTTCAAAGACCTCACTGTATTTTCCCCTTCCAACTTTTCGAACCACCTCGTAGTCATCTTGATCCCTGAGCACCAAAACAATGTTTTAACCAAATAGAAAAAAGAGTTTCAAGAAGAGCATCTATACAAGCAATTCTCCACAAAATTATAAATAATAATATGAAGAAGATTAAAAATCACTGATTAATTGGAACTTTTTTAGGGGAATTGATTGGAAATTTTAATCAAGAATAACAGCTTTTATGACGAACAACAACTGGTAGGTAAAGAGAGAATTAAAATCCTCAAAATAATCATATAATATGAAATATCAGCAGTTCAGTCGCATAAGAAACAAACCTGGCCTAGATTCATTAGCTGGAGAGATATTATTAATTTTCTCTTCGATTAAATTTGTGTGACACTTCAAATTTCTTTTCTAAAGCTTGCAGAAACACATTAAAGTGCACAAATAAATTCACGTAAATAGATGAAGCTTCGAACTTGATTGATTCAAACAAACAAACCAAACAAGAAACCCTAATCGCAATTTAATAAGATGAAACAGTCATACTATGAGTAATGATTAAAGACCAGTAAGAGAGATTGAATTTATCAAAAAAAAAAAAAAAACAGTAACAAAGATTGAATCGAAAACAATAGATATATGAATAAAGATAGGGCTTTGGATATATTTTCTAACCCCCATTGAACGGCGAGCGACTCGTAATCCCAGTAATCTCTGGGGCGATGAACATTGACGTCGGCGTAAACTCTAGCCCTAGACATGAAAACTGGATTTCTGGGAAGAAATTTGGTATTACTTTGTGTTTCTGACCAAAGAGGTGACGGTGATCATGAAGACCCCAGCCAGGTTGCCCTGCTTATAGTCCAGAGATGCTCAATTTGGTTTTCTTTTTATTTTGATTTTGATCTTTATTCTTTCATTTTTTAATTAATTTTATTTATTTGTATGGTTTTGTTTTCCTTCGAAATTGTACGAAATCCTGCCCAATGTTTATCCAAAAAAGAAAAAGAAAATCCTTCCAAATGCCAAAAATTAAAAATTTTAAAAAAGAAAAGAAATCAACCTTTAAAATTTTTTTTCTCATAATTAGTATTTTACTCTTTTTCATTTTATTCAGACAAACTTTTTTCTTTGTTTAGCAAAAAAAGAAAAAAAAACTTTTTCCTTTCTTTTCTTTTCTTTCTTTTTCTTTTTCCTGAAAATCAAGTTTCCCTCCACAAACGACAATTAGTTGCCACTGTCAAAGTTTGCGGTCGTTCCAAGCGTTATGCAAAGTCTAATGATCGTTTATGAAGTAAAGCGAAATGTCGTTTGTGACATTTTGCAAGAAAAACAACATATCGTTTGTTGTTGTTTATTTTCCAAACGACATGCCATTGTTTGTCAAGAGATCGTGAATATTCGTGATTCGTGGTGACAAAGAAAAAGAACAGTGATGTATGAGATATGGGTGTTGCTACGGTGTAAATATGTGGTTTTAGTTTTGCTATAGTTAAGGTCGGTAATTTCAAACACAATACCGTAAAATAATATGAAAATGACGCGAGATAAATAGATTTAGACCGCACGATTATTAATTAAGTCATTAACGAGCTGTCACGAATAATACGAAAATAAATAGGTTGAATTCATACAAACTGGTTTAACACGCTTAACTTATTTAGTTATACGTGCGTTATCGGACTGACACGATACGACACGGCCCGCCTGTTTATTAAGCCCGTTTATATTTTTTAAGAGAAAAAGGTTTTCAGTTTTCACTTCCTCCCTTCTATGAATTGTCTTCGGCCAATAACTAAATAACTAACAATAAAACAAGATTTTAAGTTCAATTTGTTTCTTGGGATGACTTAATTTGTTTCTTGGGATGACTTTTTTGAAGTTTTTTTTTTCTTCACTAATTTTTTACTCAGTATAACAATGAAGATTTTTACATTTTTATCTTACGAATAAATTGTGGCATGTCCATGCTATAAATTTCCTTTCGTTAATAAAATGTTTTCTTTTTCTATGAATAAGTTAAAGTAACTAAAACTTTTAGAGCGTAGTTAGGCATTCAATCTTAAAAAAGACATTTTTCTATATTTATTTTATGTTTTATGCACTTAAACATTTAAATATTAATGTTTTGAAACACACACATATATATATATATATAATAATCTAGTAGTATTATATATATTCACGTACGTGTTTGATATTCGGACATTTTTATGTATGTTGGCTTTAAGGGAGAATTAGAGAATTTATGAGAATTAGAGAATGTATGTTTTTCTTATTATATAGTCGTCAGATTTTAACTACAAGTTATATTAAATAGTCAATTAATATTAGTTTTGAATACAATATAAAATTCTACTATTTTTTCTAATTGGGTCATAAATGGGTCATAAACGTATTTTTTTGTGTTGACTCATCATGACTCATTTAGCAATCGTGTTTGCATGTCGTGTCATGTTAACCGTGTTATTAGCGTTCTGCGTTCATGTTTGAGTTTCTAACACGTTTAATAATCGTAACGTGTTTGTGTTTATTATAATTATATCGGCCTGAATATGACATGTTAACAGGAATTGTAGTCCTAGTTACAGTATTTTTTTCTTACAAAAAATTTAAAATTTAAAATTCATAACCAACGACCAGGCGCAGCGGCGCAAGTTTCTATCGATGAGGCCAAGCGACTCGTCGTTTCTCCTGAATACAGAGGAACATGCGCTCATGTTGGTTGGTTCTTATATACATGTGGTTCGTAATTGTATTTTCATGTCGCTTAGAACAAAAAGTTATCGGAAAACATCAAACACAACGACAGAAGTAAAATCCTTCTGACAGGGAAAGTAAAAAGCGAGAGAAATGGGGAGCAAGAGCAATCTCATAAGAGACATCACCAAGCGCTGCCTAGAACACCTCGGCGGCTATGGCTCCACGGAAGCGCCGTTCCTCTCCAACCAGCATCAACAATGGCGATCCTACGCAGCTCACTCTTTTCACCGATTGTCCAAACCCAGAGCTTCCAAATTCCCAAATCTTCTCTCTTCAACATTTTCTTCGCATTCATTCTCGTCGTCGACATCAAAAACTACTGGATTCGTCGGGTGGTACTTGGGCGTCCTCGAATCACGCCCGCTTTTGACGAAAAGCATCTCCTCGTCTCTTATTTATGCAGCCGCCGACTTTACCTCCCAAGTAAACATTTCTTTCCTCGATTTTTCTCTTCTTTTTTTTTTTAATTTTTAATTTTTTTCCTCTCCAGTTCTAATTTCATAAAGGTTCATTCTTGGGCTTGTTTTCATGGGAGTTCCGATGTTTTGGTACTTGCAGGTTCTGTATTCTCGAATTTTCAGTTATCAATTTCTTATTTGCGTTTAGGCTGTGGTTTTAAGTTTCCTAGGTCAGACCTTCAAAATGCTGTTGATAACTATAATTTATATAGGAATACACAATTTAGACCGAACTGAATTGTTATGATCATTATTATTTTCCACTTGTATGCGGTGCTTTGGAAAGTTGGAATGAAGAAAATAGAGTTTTAGAAATATTCTGTGGAGCTGATTAATATCCCCTGTTAATTGTCAGAGCTTCAATAGTTTGTTATTGGTTTCAAAGCTTTTAGTTTCCAAGTTGCGACTTGTGATTTCCTGTGGGTGAGAATTCCTTATGGTGTCTCTCTAAAATCTAAATCTTTGCTAAAACCGTAAAATTTCCAGGCAAATGAACTGGCAAGAAGCTGGTGGGGATAGTAGTTTAGTATCTGTATTGAATAATAAGAGGAACGGAGGGTGAGAATGAGAGAGAATCCTTGTTTTGTGTATGTAGTTTGTGGAAACGTTATCAAGCATTCATCGGTTCTAGAAGTTAATTTGACAATGTCATTAGTTGCAGTCGTATTTTTGTTTAGGTCCTTGTAATCTTCTTGTTCTTACCCGTCATACATGTGTTCTGTTTTTTCTTTTTTTCTTTTTTCTTTTTGACTTTCCAACTCTATGCCTTGTCCAAAGAGGTGACAAAGAATATATAGTTCTCTGCTAACATTCTGTTGTTCCTGTTCCTTTTCTGCTTTCCTCAATCCTTGCCCTTGGCAAAGGGGAAAAAAAAAAAATGAAAGCGAATCTGAGTTGGCTATTCCACCGTTCTTTGGTTATCTCAGCTTTTACCTTTTCTTTTGTTCATTGTCGTAGTTGTGATCAAATAAGTAGTTGCTCTAGGTATAATCTGATGAATGATAATGGCAGTAGGAAACAAATAAATTTTATTTAATCAATCTCATTTTTTTTTAATAAATGTGGTGCTTTGCCTTTTTAGTAACCGACGAAAAAAATTCACTCCAATTATGTCTTTAATGACTAATACTTCATCCTGATATTTGATTTATACCCTATGGTTTCTGCGTCTTGTTATGCTTTTCTTTGAAGTTCCTCTGCTGACTGGGATTATAACATTTTTTTTTTTGTAGCTGATCACATCCCCAGCTTCTGGTTCACTTGACTCAATAAGGACATTGCGAATGGCAGCATATGGGTTGCTAATTTTAGGACCATCACAACATTTATGGTTTAATTCTATGTCTGAAATCTTGCCTAAGCGGGATCTGCTCACAACCTTGAAGAAGATTTTTATGGGGCAAGCTATATATGGACCTTGCATCACTACTTGTTTCTTCTCGTATAATGCAGGTTTACAAGGTGAGGGAAACTTGTACTGGTTAGATTGCCAATGCCTTCTTTCATTATAACTTACAGAGTCCACATTGTCCGGATGGATTCTGTTGTTCTGAGGGTCTTTAGGGTAGACCCTGGTTCACACATCAGTATAATTCATGGTTTTCTGTGATACGTTTATTGGGTCTTTTAGTGGATTGAAATTAATTTCAACCGAATTTCTTTTCATGGTGTTTGTTTAGACCATAAGCCCTTGCGTGTCAATCTTGTTTGTTGTCTCATAGGTGTTAATAAAGTTCAATCAGTGTGTAGGTTTCTGATATTTGCTGCGTAAAAGATCCAGTTTTCGTGATTTATTTTGTTGAATTAATATTTTGGTTGTGTTCCAACACTCAGGTGAAAGTGGTGGTGAGATAGTTGCCAGATTGAAGCGAGACTTGCTCCCAACTTTGATTAATGGCGCGATGTTTTGGCCTGTCTGTGATTTTGTCACATTTAAATTTGTACCTGTTCATCTACAGGTCTGTTCATCCTCAACTTCCTTTGTTGAATCTTCATAGTCCCCAACTGAACCGATTCCGAATACATTCATGTTTTCATGTTTCCTCTAACTTTACCTTTAGCTAATATGTTTTTTTATCTTGCTGGCAAGTGGCAGCCATTGATGAACAGTTCGTGTGCGTATTTGTGGACCATTTATCTGACATACATGGCAAGTTTGAAAAAAGTGAGTGCAGATTAGTGCTGGGAATTTGAATTGCAGTGAAATTCATACAGAATTGTCCTCCATTCTCTTTTTTCCCCAAGGATTCAATCTGAAGAGTATTAATCTTGTTGGACACCCCCCTTATCACATTTGAATCTTAATGTCTCCTGGTAAGTTTACGTCTGTTCCTAGGCATCATGTTTTGTTGTATCTGATGCTTAAATTAAATTCTTGGGGCATATTTAATTAATTCTTTAAGCTCATAGATTGAACTCTTGCAATCAAAGTCGGTTAGACCCTTATCATAAAGTGGATTAGACCTTGACTTTCTGGAGATTTCCATCCCATATATATATATATATATATATATATATAAAATTTTATTTTTATGGTTTGTTGCTACAACTGCTTTAAAAATCACCGGGAATTGAGAGTGCACTTGCGCATCTTCTTCTAATGTGACGTGGTTTTGAAAGAAGTCCCTCTCACTATTGAACCATTTCCTTGACCAATTCTCAACAATATATTATGTATTCAACATAAAAATCTGGTCCAAAACAAAACCATTCATATCTGCGTTAAACAAAAAATTAAGCGTTGCGTAGAACCAAAATCGGAGTAAAGCCAAAACTTAGCTTCGAGCTATTATTTTACAAGGCAAACTTGGACTTTTGCTTCTAATGTGCAGCTTTAGTAGACAATTTTTATACTGGGATTCTCAAAGTCAGCTCGTTGTTTCCACTATTATAATCGATCCGTCGCTGAGTCACTAATGCAAATGTTGCTCTTTAAGCTTTCTTTATCGGGATTTCTCTGTTTTTTTTTTTTTTTTTCCCTGAAAAAAAGATAATATTAGCTGCTGCGTCCTAATATAAATACCTAATTAGCTATTTATCCAACCGTGCTCAACGACGGTGTTTGCACGCTTACAAAATCATTTTAAAATAATGATAAATTAATTAATTAAACTATATCAAATTAGCAAGTACGTGGCGTCGTGGCGCTGGCAATTTTCCATATGACTGCTCTTTATTAGCGTAATCTTCCAGTGGGGGCCCAAGTAAATTGGACGTTCACCTGGGCCCATGACAGGCCCTGAGGACCACAAGTTCTGCTATACTTGTCATTCTTTCCAACAGACCGATCTTCACTCGCCACGTAGCTCGCTGTCGCCCCTCCTCGGAGTGTTTTTTTTTCCTCTCGTATAGCGCCGCGCGTGGAAGACACGGGACACTTTATTCGGCTCCACAGGATGATGTATTATTCGGCTTACACGTGGGCCTTGGAGGGCATTAATACCTTCACATGGCAGTACGAATGCGAAGGCTAACGACAAACAGTCTTCGCACACGTGGTGAGAGAACTCTCAACGGTTTGTTTGTTTTTTTTCCTTTCTGCCCTTGTTAAGCACATTGGATCCGGACACGGCTATAACTTGGCGAGTGGCGACCGTTAAAGTAATTAAGCTAAAACTGATTAAAAGAGAGTGACTGACTATTAATAAATCCCCTCCCCAGCACGAGGAGTGAGAAACCTCAGAAGCTTTGCTTCTCTCCTCTTAGGAGAGAGAGAGGAGGGAGGAGAGAGAGAGAGAATTGTGAGAATTAAGAAAGAAAGGTTAGTTTAGTTTTGCTGTGCCCCCTTTCGGCTCTCCCAAATACATTTTTTCACCTTTTATTATATTGATTTTCGTTTTTTTTTATTCTATTCCCCGTTATCGTATGAATTATATTCCGATTCTTTCTGATCTCGAATATCAGTTGGTCGTTTCATGTATATTTTATATATATATATATATATATTTTATATATTTGGTCTGAGAAGGAAGAGAATATAATATATATACTGTGTCCAGGAATCTCTTCTAATACGCCTCTCCTGATCTCGCTCTCCTCTATATGGAGCCGAAGCAGTGGAAGATTTCTCGTGGAATGGTGTGGCTGCGTAAGGTGGTCTTTCCGGTCCGGAGAGTCTGGACTGGCGTCGCTTCCCGCCTCGGGATTCGCAAATCCGGTGAGCAAAAATTTTGCCTTTCTCCGTCCATTTCACCGATTTTTTACTCTGATGATCTGAGCTAATTTTCCTTGCTGATTTCTGTTGCTGATTGCGCTTGCTTTCTTCCTTTTTCTGTTTTTTTTTTTTTCTTCCTTAAAAAATTTTAGTTACTTTTTTTTTTTTTTGGTTTCTGACGATATTCAAGAGGTTTTTGGAGGATGGTCATGTCATGTCGCGTCAGATTCATTATGCAATTATTGGTGTAACGATGGTAGGTTTGATCGACTTGTCTAGGTGAAAGTGTGGGGTAATTGGGAGTTTGTCGTTGTCTCGTAGCGCTAAATAGTCTTAAATGCTGTTCGTTGAACTAATTAAATGGTATTAGTTTGACTTCAAAATAAAAATGGCATTAGTTTGATTGGATTCATTTAGCTAAAACTATTTTTTATTTCTGTCGGTTGGATTTGTTATGATTGTCTTATCTGCTAGCCAACCATAGTTACGTTGTGACCAACACATTTAAGGCCAATTTCGAAGCCTGCCGCCCGCTTTGAGTGCCAGTACCGTGGATGTGGGTGTGGCCGTCCTTGCCTGCTTGGCCTGGTTTAAGCAGAAAGTGGTTTTTTTTTTTTTTGAAAGGGAGAAAGTGGTAAAATTTATGTCATGACATGTGTGCACATATGTATACTGTCTAGCTGGTTACGCGTTTTACTATTTGCGCTGATTTCTTTATTAGATTACTGATTCTGGTGAGGAATTATAGGTTAAGTCCTGCTGGCTGGAATATTGTTGACTTGTTCCACGCTATTAGATAAAAAGGACCTACTGGTATAGTGTCTTCAGCTTCTTCAGTTTTCAGTAAAATATTCCAAATAAAGGTGTTTAATTTCAACAATGTCAACTCATAATTTCAAAATTTCTTCTCCTTAACATGTTCATTTTAAGGAGAAGAAATTTTTAAACACCGGCAACATCTATTGTTCAAATGAGAAGTTTAACCCATTGGTATGCAATTGCATAAACCTTTGAAAAAGTAGTTGCCCCACCTATCTTACGAATAATATTATTATGGTGAACTGGACCATTTTCTGAAATGTGTTTGGTTCTGTTTTTTCAAATGTTCAAGTAGAGAAATCGATTGGTGCTGAATTGTCTGTAATTCGGACTGATTAACTAGTGTAGTTTCGGTGCAAGGTTCTAGGATTGTAACACTTCTAACGATAGAGATCAACTGTAATGGATCATGTGACATATTATATTAGTATCAATTTTTTTGTTCTTTCTGTGTTAACCTTGTTATTTATAGATCGTCAAATAAATGGCTTTGAACAATGTTGTGGAAATCGAACAGGGATACTGAACCTGCAGCATGATGTGAGAGCCTGTCAGTACGAGGATGTGCATGTGATGTGGGAGATGCTGCAGAGAAACGAGACTGATCAATCTCCTGTCAAGGGCAAGAACAGATCTCTCTGGCGTTTCTTCAGTTGGTATAGGTCCGCTCCACCTTTGTGCCGCAGTTTTTAATTATGTTACTTCTTATGGTGGCGCACCTGCTCACCAAGCCCTAGTTCTTGTGTCCAGAAAATAACATCAAAAGGAAAAAAAATAATAATAAAAGAGAAAGGAGGGTTCCATATTTGAGATGATCTCTTCTCCTTATGAAGTCGTCCATATGTAGATAATCGCCTGCCTGTCAGTATGGTCCTTTTCTCTGTCCATGCTTCGTTTCTATGAAATAAGCTTGTGTGTGGCTCTTGGTTTGTTTTAGTCTTTGTAATAGCTTATTTTCTATATGCAAGTACTAGTTACATTAATTTTTGAGCGGTTTCTAGCTACATTTTCTCCCAATCTCCAAACAAAAAAAAATCCTTATGACTGTTTCTAGCTGTTTTACTGATCACATGAATATGAGATTAGATACGAAAAACATTTTTTATTAACTGTTTCAATGCTTGAAGATGAGTCTTACAATTGAATTTATAGTTTATAGACTTGTGCTAAGCCAATTTCACTACCCAACAAAATATCTTTTAACGGGTTCGATCCTGTCGTCGCCAAAAATATGAAACCACTGTGTCAGACCAAGAAGATATTTAGTGATATAATTGATGGGCAAAGACATTCAATCAAAAAAAAGTTGAGACAAATTAGGGGAAAGACATTCATGATACTATCAATATTGATGCCGCAAAAACTTTTGATTAGGGAAGGTTTTTCCTTAGATTACAAGGTAGAATTACTAATCAGATTGAATATTCAGGTCATTTCAGATTCTGGACTTTCGTTAATTAGGAATCATCAATGAAATTGAACAAAATGTTGGCCCTTCCTAAGCTACCATTCTTTCGCCAACGATGTTCTGAACAGTGGTGGAAAAATACAATTGCCAGAAGACAACAAGGCTGGTATATTGATTTAAGCAACACTTATTAGACTATCAAAGCAACAAACTAACATATAAATCTTACTTTTTTTTAATGCAAAAGTATATATCAATGGAAAAGTAGCCTTTTCGAAATGATAAAGATCTCCTTAATTGTTCGATAAAATATTATGAAAGCTTTTGTCAGTCATTTTCAGTCATTTTCTCTTTCTAATAACAAATTGTTGATTGTTTACCCTTTAGGAAAATTAAAAAGAGGGAGAGACTAGAACCACATAACAACAAACAAGCTTCTCCATTAATTTTTTCAGGTTCTGAAAGGAGTGAAAAGTTATATCTATAATCGGTTTTGGGGTCGGTTTTTGAGCCAAAAAATGAAATAAAAATTGTTTGCTTGTCTCTCTCATTTCGTTGGTACGTAAACAGGTCTTTTTTCTTTTTATTTTTTGGTAAAAAAGGTTTTTTTTAATACAATAAGAGATTAAACCCGCAATTCCCGCCTAAACTCCACCTCATCCGAATTGTCAGTGGCAAACTATCAAATTACCAAGTGAAGAACACACATAGAACCTTTCAAAAAAAAAAAAAAAAAAATACACGCGCATAGAATATCAAACTATCAGCTTGTAATAATTCCATAATGCTTTTAACTCCATGTTTGTACCAAAAATAAATAAATATACAACAAACAACGAAATACTTCGCTTAAATGGACTCAATAATAAGAAACCTTGAAAATAAGTCAGATAATTCTAACATATGGAATTATGTGTAAGTAATTAAAAATTCGGAAGGCAAGGTAAAAGTTTTTAAAATTTAGAGGACCAAGCTGAAAATAATCTCAAAATTCAGAGTATTAGTGAGAATAATAATTAAAAAAAAGATATAGAGGCAAATAACATTTTTTTAAGACATTTTAAATAAAAATAATTGAAGTTTTGTAAAATTAGTAAAATGATCATTTCTTTTATAAACTAAATAGTCAATCACTGATTGATTAGCATTCAATCATTAATTGACTTAAGTTTATCACTAAATAACTCGATAATTTTTCATTATTAAACAATACTAATTAATAATTAGCTAAAATTAATTAGTAATTAATCAATTTTAATTCATAAATTACATTTTATTAATGATAAATTATTAATAGATTCTAATAATAGATTGATTGATCTGTGGAAGAAAAAGGTTCTTTCACTAAAATTAAAAAAAAAAAATTGACTATTCATCTAAAAAATAAAAATTCGGTCATTTATTAAAAAAGTAGTAAAAAAAAAAAACAGTTATTTACTTAATTTTCTTATAAAAAAAAGGAAATAAAGAAAACAGCGGCTAGCAAGTATGACATAAAACGACAGAAAACTCCTTTATAAAAAAAATTGACAGAAAACGACGCGTTTCGGTGGTTTCCTGATTTCCAACCGCCTTAGTCGAAGGAATCCATAATAAATAGCACGTGTCCATTTGGAAATAAGTTTCTTCTCCTAGATTTGGCGCAGCAAAGATTAGCCGCTGTCAGCTTTTAGGGTTTTAGGTTCCATCATATCGTTAGGCGGCGCAAGTTTGGTTTGCAGAACAACAACAACAATGGGGCATTCGAACGTCTGGAACTCACATCCGAAGAACTACGGTCCTGGTTCTCGCTCTTGGTACATTTTCAATTCTTCTCCTAAATCTCCTTTCTGTATTAATTGGTGATTTGGACATGTGATTGATCTCTCGATTTCTGATTTATTCTCTCTTTGATGCGTTTGGGACTTATCAATCTCTCTCTGTTTTTGTCCATTGATAAATTATCATAAATTATTTGTGTTCTGTTTGACTGTTAAATATTTGGCCTTACGTTTGGTATTTGCTTGTGCTGTTCACAAAGCATTTGAACTGTTAAAACTGACGTTTTGAGTTCTTAGCTTTCGGTGTGTTTTAGTTTTACAAACTTGTGTAAAACTTAGAATCAAACCCGAACTCTTGACTGTAATCGTTTGCCTTTGAGAGTCGATTACTTAAGCAAGGTCTTCCTTTTTTTTTTTTTTTTTTTTGAACTTACGACAGCCGAGTATGCGGGAACTCTCATGCGATAATCAGAAAGTATGCGCTAATGATCTGCAGGCAATGCTTTCGCAGCAACGCCAAGGAAATTGGCTTTGTCAAGGTGTATACCTTTCTTTTTAACTTTCGTAAATATTGATACATTTATACGTAGGACTGCTTTTGGGTTCTTCACCTTGCGTAGTTTATTTATGTTGCTTGTGTTTACTTTCTTAAAAAAAAAAAAAAATCTTCAATATGTATTTATTCTTCTATCTTTTTCATTGCAGTACCGCTGAAGACTAATGATTCTACATTGAATCATTGATGGTGCTTTCGACTGAATAATGGTGCTGGAGAATTTCTTTTCTTATAATTAGCTTTGTTTAATCTTTCTGTTAATGTCTTTTAAGATTTTCCTTGGGAGTAGTTTTTGCTAGGTAGGACCTGAGTACGGGAATTATATTTAGCCAGGACATCAATGTCTTGTCGTGGCTGTTTAAGAACCTGAGAAATTTATATTGATTTGTTAGTGTTATTCTTCAGCTTACACATTTGGAAGAAAACGAAGGTTTCTTTTTTTTTTTTTTTTTTTTTTTTTTTTTTTCCCCCCTTAACCTTAGCAATTTTCAAACTTTCGATCCAAAGAATGTATACACTTCACTCCACTGTCAAAACAAACAGCAATTTTCCCAAATGGCTAGAAACGATATGACCTTTTTAGACATGGGTTACTTCATGAGAGCATCATGTTCATAATCAATTGGTGCATCAACTGCTACCTTATTTGGCAAACGACTGGATTTAGAAAGTTGGAAGTTGTTTGTCGTCTGAAGGCGATGGGCCAAGTTAAGCACTATAACTTAGCTAAAGCCCATGTTTCTTACACCGGATTTTGACATGGATTAGGATAAATAATCCCAATCCAATGGTGATGAGTGTGACCGGATCCAATGACTCAAAAATAGTCCAAAAATGTTGGATTAAAAGTAATCCCTCTAAAATTGGTGGTATTATTACTCCTGGATTGGGGATGACTCAACCTCCCCCTTCAGCAAAGATCTGCAGCGTCTAAGCAAGGCCACCCACTCCATTCTAGTTATGGCGACCCTCCTCCCAGACGAAGACGTTGACGTCGACGACACCTATCCCATGCGACAGCGACAAATCCCTGTCCCTCCGCTCCTCTCTGTCACACCATCAAACTCCACCCCTCCTCTGCGACGACAACCGTCCACCAGATGAAGACAACGACCTAGATCCCTATCTCCGTCGCATCCATCTTAGCCCCTATTCTCCGTCGCTCCCCTCACAGCCCTATCTCTCTCCCCTAATCGGAGAAACACAGGAGCCGCAGTCCCTCCCTTGTGAAACTAAGGCCTCGTCACGAAATCCAGGAAGCATCCCCCTCCTCTGTGAAACTCAGGTGTCGTCCCCTTCTCCAGGAAACTCCTCGAACACCGCAGAACTCCCCCTTCCCCCACGCGACGACAAACAACTTCCCTCTTCATATATATGTTTTAAACATTTAAACCTATCCTAACTAGTTCGATGATGAACTAAACGCACGATAGGATTTGACATAATCCTCTCTAGTCAAATCTAATCAAATCAAAACACCAGTACAATTTGGCGTGCCAAACACCGCCAAAACATTTTGTGTAACGAGAAATGTGTGCGCACCGATAATGCGTTTTGGGATGAAACGTGAATCACGCTATTTACTCTTTTACTATGGAAAATCATACAGATTCATCATGGTGACTTAGTCACACCCACAAATGATATAAATACCACTGTTGTTTTAGCTTTTACTAAATGAGGTAGTAGTATATTAGTAGGTCGATTACACATTAGTTTATTGAGAAGTATTATTCATAATATGAATAAGGATTGTTATAGTACCTGTTTTACTATGTGTGATCAGATACAAATGTACTGTATTCACTTTTTTGAAAAAATAAGGTAACGAATCTGGTTTTTTGGTTTTATTAGATAACTGGATCGAATATATATTTGTGCCAGGGACAGGGAGAAGTGAGGTATTGAGACATTCTCTCCTCTCACAAGGGCGGAAAATGTGGGACATTATTGTCTCAAGTTGATATGCCATATCCATACTCCCATTGCTCAAGAGGTGCAGCCCATGCTCTGACTCACTTTTAGTAGGGCGAACAAAATAGCAGGAAGCCAATGCCTATTACCTAACATTTGTTATTGTTTATCCATTATCACAACAATACAATAATGTTTTCCACAAAAAATTTAAAAAGGAAAAAAAAAAAAAAGACAGAAAATATTATTTATATTTTCAGCAGTGAGGTCGTGATCATATTATGGATTTTATCCTTCTTGTTAAGATCATATTATGGATGCCTGTTACAAGGCATCCGCCTATACAAACAAAATCTTTCTGTTTCCTAAGCTTGACACGGATTTCAAATCATAGATGTCATCGGCGTGACTTCTTCTTCCTTGGAGAATACCGAGATTCAAGAATGATGGGCTGACGGCTGTAGAGCTATCTTCTTATTCTTTTTCTTCTTCTTTTGTAAGGTTTCAACTGGGGCCAGTAATATGGGTCATGACATGACGATACGATTCAAAAACGACACAAATTTTGCGGGTTAGGGTTGAGAAAAAAGAGGTTCGGGTCAGAATTAGGTCGACTTGAAATTGACACGAAAAACACTGGTCAATTTCGGGTTTGACCCGCCTAACCCGAACACGACACGAAACTCGTAAAAAACTAAAAAATACATATATTTTTCATTTCATATTTTAAATTTTATTATGAACTTGTGATATCATGATAGTTATACTCAAAATCTTTGTGTTGCGGTTTTTAAAAAATTTCGTGTTACGGGTCGTGTTCGAGTTGACTGTAAATTTCAAAAGAAACAATCAAAACACGACACGAACACGATACGTGACACGAATTGACACCCCTAGTTCCAACAATTTCAAGTTTCCTCTTAGCTTTCTTCTTCTCTTTTTTTTTAAAAAAAATTTATTTTCATGGTTCATTTCCAGCTTGAGGGGTATATTTTAATAGTTGGAATACGTAAGAAGAAGGAAACTTGGATGTCCATTATGGAAAGAGCTAAGATTATGGCTTCATAAAAAAGAGCCTCTTTTGATCAAAAAGTAAAAGGAAAATCCAAGTGATTGTTGGTATTATGTAACACTAACAATTCATTATTCACCTTTGGTCAATGACAAATCAAGAGACTTGCGTCAACAAGAAATATTTTTCATTTCATATTTTAAATTTTATTATAAACCTGTGATATCATGATAGTTATACTCAAAATCTTTGTGTTGCGGTTTTTAAAAAATTTCGTGTTACGGGTCGTGTTCGAGTTGACTGTAAATTTCAAAAGAAACAATCAAAACACGACACGAACACGATACGTGACACGAATTGACACCCCTAGTTCCAACAATTTCAAGTTTCCTCTTAGCTTTCTTCTTCTCTTTTTTTTTAAAAAATTTATTTTCATGGTTCATTTCCAGCTTGAGGGGTATATTTTAATAGTTGGAATACGTAAGAAGAAGGAAACTTGGATGTCCATTATGGAAAGAGCTAAGATTATGGCTTCATAAAAAAGAGCCTCTTTTGATCAAAAAGTAAAAGGAAAATCCAAGTGATTGTTGGTATTATGTAACACTAACAATTCATTATTCACCTTTGGTCAATGACAAATCAAGAGACTTGCGTCAACAAGAAATATTTTTCATTTCATATTTTAAATTTTATTATGAACTTGTGATATCATGATAGTTATACTCAAAATCTTTGTGTTGCGGTTTTTAAAAAATTTCGTGTTACGGGTCGTGTTCGAGTTGACTGTAAATTTCAAAAGAAACAATCAAAACACGACACGAACACGATACGTGACACGAATTGACACCCCTAGTTCCAACAATTTCAAGTTTCCTCTTAGCTTTCTTCTTCTCTTTTTTTTTTTTTTAAATTTATTTTCATGGTTCATTTCCAGCTTGAGGGGTATATTTTAATAGTTGGAATACGTAAGAAGAAGGAAACTTGGATGTCCATTATGGAAAGAGCTAAGATTATGGCTTCATAAAAAAGAGCCTCTTTTGATCAAAAAGTAAAAGGAAAATCCAAGTGATTGTTGGTATTATGTAACACTAACAATTCATTATTCACCTTTGGTCAATGACAAATCAAGAGACTTGCGTCAACAAGAAATATTTTTCATTTCATATTTTAAATTTTATTATGAACTTGTGATATCATGATAGTTATACTCAAAATCTTTGTGTTGCGGTTTTTAAAAAATTTCGTGTTACGGGTCGTGTTCGAGTTGACTGTAAATTTCAAAAGAAACAATCAAAACACGACACGAACACGATACGTGACACGAATTGACACCCCTAGTTCCAACAATTTCAAGTTTCCTCTTAGCTTTCTTCTTCTCTTTTTTTTTTTTTTAAATTTATTTTCATGGTTCATTTCCAGCTTGAGGGGTATATTTTAATAGTTGGAATACGTAAGAAGAAGGAAACTTGGATGTCCATTATGGAAAGAGCTAAGATTATGGCTTCATAAAAAAGAGCCTCTTTTGATCAAAAAGTAAAAGGAAAATCCAAGTGATTGTTGGTATTATGTAACACTAACAATTCATTATTCACCTTTGGTCAATGACAAATCAAGAGACTTGCGTCAACAAGAAATATTTTTCATTTCATATTTTAAATTTTATTATGAACTTGTGATATCATGATAGTTATACTCAAAATCTTTGTGTTGCGGTTTTTAAAAAATTTCGTGTTACGGGTCGTGTTCGAGTTGACTGTAAATTTCAAAAGAAACAATCAAAACACGACACGAACACGATACGTGACACGAATTGACACCCCTAGTTCCAACAATTTCAAGTTTCCTCTTAGCTTTCTTCTTCTCTTTTTTTTTTTTTTAAATTTATTTTCATGGTTCATTTCCAGCTTGAGGGGTATATTTTAATAGTTGGAATACGTAAGAAGAAGGAAACTTGGATGTCCATTATGGAAAGAGCTAAGATTATGGCTTCATAAAAAAGAGCCTCTTTTGATCAAAAAGTAAAAGGAAAATCCAAGTGATTGTTGGTATTATGTAACACTAACAATTCATTATTCACCTTTGGTCAATGACAAATCAAGAGACTTGCGTCAACAAGAAATATTTTTCATTTCATATTTTAAATTTTATTATGAACTTGTGATATCATGATAGTTATACTCAAAATCTTTGTGTTGCGGTTTTTAAAAAATTTCGTGTTACGGGTCGTGTTCGAGTTGACTGTAAATTTCAAAAGAAACAATCAAAACACGACACGAACACGATACGTGACACGAATTGACACCCCTAGTTCCAACAATTTCAAGTTTCCTCTTAGCTTTCTTCTTCTCTTTTTTTTTTTTTTAAATTTATTTTCATGGTTCATTTCCAGCTTGAGGGGTATATTTTAATAGTTGGAATACGTAAGAAGAAGGAAACTTGGATGTCCATTATGGAAAGAGCTAAGATTATGGCTTCATAAAAAAGAGCCTCTTTTGATCAAAAAGTAAAAGGAAAATCCAAGTGATTGTTGGTATTATGTAACACTAACAATTCATTATTCACCTTTGGTCAATGACAAATCAAGAGACTTGCGTCAACAAGAAATATTTTTCATTTCATATTTTAAATTTTATTATGAACTTGTGATATCATGATAGTTATACTCAAAATCTTTGTGTTGCGGTTTTTAAAAAATTTCGTGTTACGGGTCGTGTTCGAGTTGACTGTAAATTTCAAAAGAAACAATCAAAACACGACACGAACACGATACGTGACACGAATTGACACCCCTAGTTCCAACAATTTCAAGTTTCCTCTTAGCTTTCTTCTTCTCTTTTTTTTTTTTTTAAATTTATTTTCATGGTTCATTTCCAGCTTGAGGGGTATATTTTAATAGTTGGAATACGTAAGAAGAAGGAAACTTGGATGTCCATTATGGAAAGAGCTAAGATTATGGCTTCATAAAAAAGAGCCTCTTTTGATCAAAAAGTAAAAGGAAAATCCAAGTGATTGTTGGTATTATGTAACACTAACAATTCATTATTCACCTTTGGTCAATGACAAATCAAGAGACTTGCGTCAACAAGAAATATTTTTCATTTCATATTTTAAATTTTATTATGAACTTGTGATATCATGATAGTTATACTCAAAATCTTTGTGTTGCGGTTTTTAAAAAATTTCGTGTTACGGGTCGTGTTCGAGTTGACTGTAAATTTCAAAAGAAACAATCAAAACACGACACGAACACGATACGTGACACGAATTGACACCCCTAGTTCCAACAATTTCAAGTTTCCTCTTAGCTTTCTTCTTCTCTTTTTTTTTTTTTTAAATTTATTTTCATGGTTCATTTCCAGCTTGAGGGGTATATTTTAATAGTTGGAATACGTAAGAAGAAGGAAACTTGGATGTCCATTATGGAAAGAGCTAAGATTATGGCTTCATAAAAAAGAGCCTCTTTTGATCAAAAAGTAAAAGGAAAATCCAAGTGATTGTTGGTATTATGTAACACTAACAATTCATTATTCACCTTTGGTCAATGACAAATCAAGAGACTTGCGTCAACAAGAAATATTTTTCATTTCATATTTTAAATTTTATTATGAACTTGTGATATCATGATAGTTATACTCAAAATCTTTGTGTTGCGGTTTTTAAAAAATTTCGTGTTACGGGTCGTGTTCGAGTTGACTGTAAATTTCAAAAGAAACAATCAAAACACGACACGAACACGATACGTGACACGAATTGACACCCCTAGTTCCAACAATTTCAAGTTTCCTCTTAGCTTTCTTCTTCTCTTTTTTTTTTTTTTAAATTTATTTTCATGGTTCATTTCCAGCTTGAGGGGTATATTTTAATAGTTGGAATACGTAAGAAGAAGGAAACTTGGATGTCCATTATGGAAAGAGCTAAGATTATGGCTTCATAAAAAAGAGCCTCTTTTGATCAAAAAGTAAAAGGAAAATCCAAGTGATTGTTGGTATTATGTAACACTAACAATTCATTATTCACCTTTGGTCAATGACAAATCAAGAGACTTGCGTCAACAAGAAATATTTTTCATTTCATATTTTAAATTTTATTATGAACTTGTGATATCATGATAGTTATACTCAAAATCTTTGTGTTGCGGTTTTTAAAAAATTTCGTGTTACGGGTCGTGTTCGAGTTGACTGTAAATTTCAAAAGAAACAATCAAAACACGACACGAACACGATACGTGACACGAATTGACACCCCTAGTTCCAACAATTTCAAGTTTCCTCTTAGCTTTCTTCTTCTCTTTTTTTTTTTTTTAAATTTATTTTCATGGTTCATTTCCAGCTTGAGGGGTATATTTTAATAGTTGGAATACGTAAGAAGAAGGAAACTTGGATGTCCATTATGGAAAGAGCTAAGATTATGGCTTCATAAAAAAGAGCCTCTTTTGATCAAAAAGTAAAAGGAAAATCCAAGTGATTGTTGGTATTATGTAACACTAACAATTCATTATTCACCTTTGGTCAATGACAAATCAAGAGACTTGCGTCAACAAGAAATATTTTTCATTTCATATTTTAAATTTTATTATGAACTTGTGATATCATGATAGTTATACTCAAAATCTTTGTGTTGCGGTTTTTAAAAAATTTCGTGTTACGGGTCGTGTTCGAGTTGACTGTAAATTTCAAAAGAAACAATCAAAACACGACACGAACACGATACGTGACACGAATTGACACCCCTAGTTCCAACAATTTCAAGTTTCCTCTTAGCTTTCTTCTTCTCTTTTTTTTTTTTTTAAATTTATTTTCATGGTTCATTTCCAGCTTGAGGGGTATATTTTAATAGTTGGAATACGTAAGAAGAAGGAAACTTGGATGTCCATTATGGAAAGAGCTAAGATTATGGCTTCATAAAAAAGAGCCTCTTTTGATCAAAAAGTAAAAGGAAAATCCAAGTGATTGTTGGTATTATGTAACACTAACAATTCATTATTCACCTTTGGTCAATGACAAATCAAGAGACTTGCGTCAACAAGAAATATTTTTCATTTCATATTTTAAATTTTATTATAAACCTGTGATATCATGATAGTTATACTCAAAATCTTTGTGTTGCGGTTTTTAAAAAATTTCGTGTTACGGGTCGTGTTCGAGTTGACTGTAAATTTCAAAAGAAACAATCAAAACACGACACGAACACGATACGTGACACGAATTGACACCCCTAGTTCCAACAATTTCAAGTTTCCTCTTAGCTTTCTTCTTCTCTTTTTTTTTTTTTAAAATTTATTTTCATGGTTCATTTCCAGCTTGAGGGGTATATTTTAATAGTTGGAATACGTAAGAAGAAGGAAACTTGGATGTCCATTATGGAAAGAGCTAAGATTATGGCTTCATAAAAAAGAGCCTCTTTTGATCAAAAAGTAAAAGGAAAATCCAAGTGATTGTTGGTATTATGTAACACTAACAATTCATTATTCACCTTTGGTCAATGACAAATCAAGAGACTTACGTCAACAAGAAATAGGTCCAATTATATCACCCCCCTCCCTAACTGTGAATAACGCATATAAGTGATATTTCTAGCAAAATTATTTAATAAAAAAAAGAAAACATTTATTTGGAATAATTATAAGAAAGTTCCATGAACTTTACTCGCAAAAAGAGAAATCATTTTTTATTTCTGAAATTTGGAAAAATCTTTTTTAAAATAAGCGCGATAATGGAAATGGTCCAAAACTCGACCGATTTAACCCAAAAACAATAAAAATAAAATTAACAATGACAGTAATAGAGGGGAATAAAAAAGACTTTAAATATAAATGGAGGTGCGGGGAATCGAACCCCGTGCCTCTCGCATGCGAAGCGAGCGCTCTACCATATGAGCTACACCCCCGTTGTGGTTGTCTCTTAAAAACAATTTAATTAATATATAAATAGACACCTACATTTCACGGACGCCCAACGGCTCACATTCCACCGCAAGCATTAAAGGCTGTTCATTCCCCAGTGTTTCTGCAAACACTAAACGAAGGCAATAACTGCTCTGTATGAGATGTAGTAATGAAAAGGCTGGTAAAGCCCACATGACTTCTTTTATTATTCTTTTAACAAAAAAAAAAAAAAAAAAAAAGACTTCTTTTATAATTCACTTGCCGCATTATATAAGCATTATTGTTCCACATTCAAACGCAAGACATGGGTTCTTAGTCTCTCTCTCTCTCTCTCTCACACACACACACCTTCTTTGTCTTATCCCAGCTCACGTTCGGTTGTTCTCCTCCTTTTCTACATTATTGTTTTTGAAGTCTTTTGAATGGGTTAAACTTGTCTAAAAGAGGGCTTTTGGAAAATCTTTAAAGGGTGTTAGAAAATACTCACACTCTTTGTCAGGCATTTGGTGTTTCCTTCTGAGGTTGTGCTTCTGTCAGGATTATTCACGTCTGTGCATTATGAAGGTCTCAGGCTTCTGGGTGTTGTTTTTTCTGCTTTGGCTAGCTTTCATGTTCTTTAGCCTCTCTGGCTGCATAACTGGTTTGAAATCTCATGGTAATTTTTCTTTTTCACGTTCTTTGTTTTTTTTTTTTTTTTTGGTGCAGATGTTTGTTATTTTCTTAATCAAAGATTTCATATTGCACTCTAATCAGAATTCAATGCTTTGTGCCTTTCATGGAAGGTTGTCTTGCAATATCAGCTTTACTAGGATTTGCTATCTTCTTGTTAATCTGCTAGAAGATTCTAACATTTCAAATAGTAGCGACTGAGAATGCTTATGGCTGAGCTTTTTTTTTTTTTTTTTTTTTTCAAAATAATAATTAAAAAAAAAAAAGATCATGAGCAGGAAATTACTTGGCACATTGTGGTTGCCAGGATGAATGCAGGCCAAATTCGTGGTCTTGGTAGGCTAAAATATCCTTCATTCTTAATACTTTGAGGAGTCTGTGCTCTGGCTATTTATAATTTGTATATATAATTCTAGTCAAATCTTTTATTTTCATTGATTGCATGCACAATTAGAATGATAGATCAGTTAATTTTTTTAATCCCTTGCATGCACAATTAGAATGATAGATCAGTTAATTTTTTTAATCCCTGTGAAACTCGGGTCCCATTGTTCCTAAAATGGATTTCACTTGACACATTCACAAAATGACGCAAATGAAAATGTTGCGTACCATTAACATTACGCGCCTTGCCGCCGGACATAAATGTAGGGTCTCTTACAATCATGTGATCGTAATTAATACTGAGATGTTATTACACATTTGTACACTCTCCTCCCTAATTAGTATATATAGTACTAGTTTCTTGTATTAGTACATAATGCCTCTCAAACTAGAATAGACATATACATACATTAATTAACAAAAGCATAAGCCTACATAAATTATGCCTCTCACTGAATATGGTTTTGGTTTTGGTAACTATAGGGCTCGTTTAGTTCACTGATTCGAGTTGAAATGTGACTTTATGTGAGAAATTTTTACTGTAGTAAAAAAGTTAAATTTAACTATTTCTGAGAACTTTTTACTGTAGTAAAACTCAAATCGGTGAAATGAACTGGGCGTTAGACTTTTTAAACGTCAGGTGACGAAAATATGGACCAGGTTTATTTTCGTTACATTTATAGTCCTAATAAATTGCCAAGATGGCCGTTTGGGTTAGAGACATGAGGAGATTATTGATCCTATTTTATTGATTGGTGGGTGGAAAAAAAAAAAAAGAAAACATAACTGTGCTACATATATGCACACATACAGAAATCTTTTTATGATCTATTTCTGTGTTGCTACATATAACACAGATTAATCATGTGTATCAACGTTGCTATCACTGTCAAAAAGAAATCTCTTTCGACGTAATCATTTGCTTAAAAGGACTTGTTTTCCGCAACTTTCTATGTATGTCTTACTCGTACCAACACACAAGAGGGTATTTTGTCTATTTTCCTTTGACCTTCAATCACTGATTACACGTGAAATGAAATCTTGGATCCTTATAAATTGCCGAGTCTCATTCCTTGACAACAGAATGTTAACCGTCCTAACGAGCGCTTAGCCATCATGTATTTGTCAGCCACGAGTCAATTTGTTTTTTAAGTAGTTTGATGCTTTTATTCTCTCAAATCCTTAATTATGTATGAAATCAGATACTTCCATTGTAATTGGACCTAATTTTTTGTGTAATTTGATAAATTTCAGACCTGGCCCACCATGACGATGGTTCAACCTTGATAGCCATAACCAGGAAGCTCAAGGTAAAACACCACGCTCATCTATTTTACTTAACACACTAATTAAGACATTTTTTATTTTTTTTTTCCCCTTAAGATATTTTTATATGTCCATGTTCTTCTCAAACTTCAGGAAACAAGCTATAAGACAAACAGAAAGGAAAACAAGAGAGGTTTTGGAAATGTGAATCTGGAAGATTACCATCCTATAGATCCAGTTCCAAGCTCAAAGGCTTCTGTAAAACCTGGGCCAATAGAGCATGGGGCTCCTATAATCCCATATATCCCAAAGCCTTCGCCTCCTGACCAACCCAAGGGCCCTACTTGACAACATGTTATGTAATGTATTTAATTATGGCTATATATGTTAAAACTTGGAAGAATATTGCCACTTTGTTTTAGCCAGCTTGTATATTATATACACTACTTATACAGCTGAAGTGATGTGCTAATATATGTATGAATGTTGTGTGTTTTATTTTTGTGTCACCCTTTATTCATTATACTGTTTTCAGTAGTTTTATATGTGCTGCTTGATTATTTATAACTGATAATATCATATTAGAGAAATTGCGGTGGTGGGTATGGCCTTTTTAAAGGCTTCTAAGAATATGTCTCAGTTTTACGAAACTTAAAAAAAAATAAAAAAAAATAAAAGTCCATTGTCTTTAAGATTGACTTTGTAAATCGTCGATTGATTTTCGGTAAATTATTTTAATTGATCTCGGTTTATTAATTAATGCACGGCTTATTTATCAATTTTCAATATATAATGCGAATTATGTCGATGACTATTATGGCAAATGAAATGGCTATTTACTAACATAAAAACGCGTATTAATTTTTAATTTTTAATTTTTATACATTGATAAATAGAATTTATTAACATAAGTTTTAAATGTAGGCTTGTTTTTTACAATTTTCTATTCCGGGTGACATATTCGGCCTACCTTACCAAACCCCAAGTACGATCTTTATAGAATTGATGATTGATGATAAAAATTAATGCACACACGAAAGAGATATTATTTATGAATTATGACCAAAATAAAGCACAAATTAAGGTTTTTTTTTTCCTTTGACACGTCATAAGAAGTTATACTATATTGTATTATAATAAATTATATAAAAGCTAAATTCTGTTTCAATTGAAATATTTATGACCTACATCACTACCTGTCCATTGAAATCTTCACTCTCTCTCTCTCTCTCTCTCTCTCTCTCTCTCTCTCTCTCTCTCTCTCTCTCAAGATAAGAACTTCTGAAATGGGCTACCATTACCATATCTATGAGAGGATGGGCTTTTTAATACTAACAAATTTAGTTGCGTATTTGTCAAAAATTCTAAAGAAGGTGAACTACTAGGCAAGAAACAGAAAACATGCCTGAAAACAATATGGAACAACAGTAATCATTATGTTATCCCTTTGTGAGCTTAGCTACATAAAAAGTGGTTTAAGTGGGAAACAGTGGTTTCTGTTGCATTATTTGGAGGGTGGCCAAACTCATTAAAGGACAGAACAAAGAAAGTGGCAATGATATATACACAACAAGGAGCATTCACCAACCATATTGACTAGCCCAAAAACATAAAAGATTGTTTCTTCTAACACAAGCTAATTTGATTATCACGAAATTTGTCTTGCCCACAGATTATGAAGTAACAACCAATCTTTTCCCACCAACATGGGAGCTTTTTTTTTTTTTTTTTTTTTTTTTTTTTTTGGGTTAACTACTGCAAAACCCCAGAAGTTCGTATCTAATCAAGGGAATTTTTTCTAGGTAATGTTTACCCATTGCACAGCCATGAGTTTCTATAAGATGGATATTAAGAGTCACACACTTTTTTCTGGGTTTTGGCAAGTGGAAAGAAGAAAGAATCATGAAAATTAAAGCAAAGGGGACCATTCTAAATATCCCATATTTTTTTATGGGGGCCTAGATTGATCACTTTCAAACGTGGGCTCCCATACTTGAGTTTGGAGAATGAATGTTACTTAACCAGAATGTTTGTTACTTTAGCTAAACCTTGATTATAAAATGAGTATTTCTCAAGGCAGGGACACTTTCGAACTCCTAACTTTCATGATTTCTTAATAAAAGCCACGCTTTCAAGTTAAATGCCATCTTTATTAAGTTATTAACTAATCGGGTCATTGATAATTAGCACATGTCAACTCCAAACAGCCGCTGTCCTATTCAACACTTTTCCTTTTAATAACATTTCTTGTTGATAAGACTTTACCAGTTTTCCTTAAAAAAATTGCCTTTCTGTTGTTTTAAGTCTTAATTTAAAGATTAAAGATTGACACCAGCCGCTTACTCAAGTTTAGTGGACCGTCATTGACTCCTCTGTTCACTCTTTTTGGTGGCGCATTTGTTATGCTTGTCACACTACCGACTGACCGTAACACAAACATATATGTGAGAATTAAAAGTGAACATAAAAGCTCTCCTAATCATGATTGCATCTATCACTGAACGATAAATTCACATTTAACTCTATTAAGGTGCAGAGTTAAAATCTTCCCACCTTTAAAATAAAAAAATAAATATTTTCTTAGGATAATTATACAGTATGCTTGAAAAAATAAAATAACGCCTATCAAAGTCTCTCTTTTAAGCCGTCATATTTATACTAAAATTATGTGTTCTATATTTTTTTTTATCTTTCTTGGATCTTCCCGGGCGTTAAACTAAATCCTATTCGAGAAAACTTAAAGAGGGCAGAAGCTAAAATCACTCAGAGCAGTGTACTTTGTGAATTAACGAGACAGGCAAGATGATTCTTAGCGGAAAAAAAAAAAAAGAAAAAAAAAAGAGACAGTTAAGATGATTGGTGACCTTCAAAACATTTGTCCAGTCATATGGTGACATTCTCATAAAAAGAACCATTTTGCATCGTCCTTTGTCTGAATTTCTGTTTTACACAAACTTGTTAGTAGATGAAGATTATAAAAGGGGAGGACCTAGAGGTCGGTCTCTGCCAGGTTGGAGACCATTAATACATGTCCTTAAAAGGAAAATCTCAAGCCTTTGCTTAAGTTGCCTTGGGAGGTCACTTTGTGCCACTTGGACTTTGGCCTTTCCAAATTCCCACCCAAATAGGGCATCTTCCAAATTCAGGTAATCATACTCCTGTAAAATGGGTTAAGCAACACAACACAAACCAAACAAAATAGACAAATCAGGACAATTTGATATCAACTGAGACTCTGAGAGCGTTGCAGCTAAACGACACCAACAAAAACAAAAAACAAAAAAAAACAAAAAAGCCTTAGTAGAAGATGTTAGCTGCAACATTTAGTCCGTACACGTGTATATTTGGATAAAGAAATAACACCAACTAATTTAATAATTCTAAAACATTATTCAACATATTGGTTTTAGTAGGTTGCTATTTCATGGTGTGACATATATGTTGTGTGAGTTTATAAGTTGAGTAAGCACTTCCTAAAAACAAAAACTAATAATAATAAAATAAGTTGAGAACTCACCATTTCTTTTCCTTTTTTTTAGTAGTAACTTTTTTTTTTGGTTTTCCTGCTAACCCTTTTTTTAGCAGTTGAGACCCCACCTTACTACCATATTGTAGTAGAGTAAGAAACAACGAGAACAACAACAAAAAACTAATCAAATTTTCACTGTCGAAAGCCAAGTGGGAGACATTTTTCACTGTCCAAGTCGGATCCATGGTCCACCACCTGTTAAAAAGGCCATATGAAGTATAAACATTAGAGGCTTGTGAATTTCTGAGCACTGTGGCCGTGAAAAAAAATATATATATATACAGAGAAGTGGGCCCCAAACGAGCAAAACTCAATAAAAAAAGCAGGGAAAGATGGAGGAGCTGAAACAGAAGCAGTAAGTACAGGAGTCGGAGCATCCTAGAAAGATACGTTTTCTCCTTTTTTTTTATATTTTTTATTTTTTTAACGTGTTCTTTTTGGCTTCCAAATATGCTGCGTGATAGATGCTGTTCCTCTTTCGCCTGAGAAATGATGGCCTTCCTTGTAAAATTTGCATTTTGCAATAAAACAGTAGTCTTGAGCTCGTCCAGTAAAACTTTTAGAATGTGTTTGGTAATAAAAAAGATCAAATAAGAATGAAATAAAGGTGCATAATTTAGGTGAGAAAAATGTAGAGATAAGGGATGATCTTTCTATTGTGTTCATTCTTTATAATCTTTGTGTATTATGAAAGATTTAAATAACTACGGATTCCAAATCCTTCAGCTATTTTTGCACTCCTTTTACTTTTCTCCGCTAGTTACTTATGAAAAAGAATATCATTTTACCATCATTTGTAGGAACTGTATTTTAACTGTTAGATTAGTTTTCAAACTAACTGATATGCATATGTAATAATTATGTATCATGCTTTGTAAATTTTTAATGCGGACGTGCACAAATCTCATTATTAAAAACCTAATCTAATAGTTTTTACTAATGAGTAAAATAACCTTATTCACAATAAAGATTCCTTTGCTTCCTGTTCCTCCTATAGTGAAAATGATTAACGCGGTCTTTTTTTTTTTCTTTTTTTTTTTTGGTATATTTAGTCGTACCATTGAGCCACTAGATTCTTATCTGTCCAATTTCTTCATTTTCATACGATAGGTCTTTTCCTAATTGTAGTCATCTTGTCCTATAATCAACTAATTGGTATGCGATTTTAAGTAAAAATGAAAAGATGAAAACGGTATAGTGGATTTCATTTTCATGTCGCCAATGATTTACGATCTCCCAATTGGCCGAAGCTCAATATGCGTGTCTTAGTCTCCAAAACATATATCTTTAGTCTATTTTTCATAGAATGGAGAAAAAATTGCATTTTTATAGAATTAGCCGCTAAGAGAGCGGAAAAAAAAAAAAAAAACACAAGCACACAAATTTGAGTGCCGAAGAAGGAAGAACTTTTAGAAGTGGTCCTCATTCACGTTATCAAGGCCCGCCACATGCATGTCTTTACTTTTTAACAATGTGATTTTGATACCCTTCACATATGTATAATACTATGATTCACTAATTAACTTAAGAGTAATAATTAGATAATCAACACAGTGACAAAATGTTAGGATCCGAATTATCAACCGTATGCCATGCTATAACTGGTAGATTATCGTTCTTTTTAGAGATTAATGATTACTTTAATAGAAACAACTTCATATTAGCCTCGCCTAACTAACAGGTTTGTCGTTAACTTAGGTTATATAATTAACGGATTTAGATTAGAGTAGAAGTAAAACCTAACTTTAGAGTGGATTGTAATCCAGAGAGAGAGAGAGAGAGAGAGAGAGAGAGAAACACCCAAGGAATAGGAGAAGTTGAAGCTAAATAAACTCTTCTTTTTTGCCAACAAGGAAGGTTAACAATTTGCACGTAAATTTCTTTCTAACGAACGGATAATGAAAACCACACGAGGGTAGCAGATTGCTGAGGAGTTGATGACTCTTGTTGATTGACATGAAAGGCTTTTGTTAAAACAGAAAAATGATGATTAATTATGCATATTAGTGATATAATGTCGGGTTTGGTGTGAGAGCCGGTGGGGTTAATTATTATGACATATAATTGTGGGAGAGAAAAAAGGGAATAAGAATGTCTTTAGATTAACTTAAAGAGATTAATGGAGTTATTAAAACTCAAAGGAGGAAATAATAGTTGATTTTCACTTTTGGAAGATTCATTTGCAAGGTTCGTTGGAGCTTTGGCTATTGCTGACGCTAATGACTTTGCTAAGTTAATTATTAGTGACTTCATTCCTTTTTATCCTTTTCTGACCCTCATAAACAACTTACTAAAGATTCCATAAAGAAAGAACAACTACGATCATGCCTTTTATCAAAAGCAATTAATCACACATAACCACCAATAAACTCCACCACTTGGCCCTTTAAACTTTAAAGAGTGACGAGAGAATTGAAACATACTTTAGCTCCTCTATTTATGCCACAATAATTTCCTCAAAAAGGAAAAAAAAATCTTAAAATGTTATATTTGTGTGGAGATTGCGTGAAGAAAACAATATTTTTCTTTATCTAAAAAAAAAAAAACCTCTTGGATTATTTCCTTTACATATATGATTAAATACCAATCATATTTAATGTCTCAAATATTAATACTCGAGCATATGTACATTTTTTAAAAAACTATTTGCAAATTCATGGCGTTTTCAGGTTATAACATTACTGCTTTTACATCTTGTTTTTTTTTTTTTTTTTTTTTAACTCTTCACCCCTTTAAATATAGACCCCACGAAGTTTTTAAAAGGTTGCATTTACTTTTTACACCTCTATTATTCTATGAAATAATTACTCCTAATTATTTCCACAATATTATTAATTTTTCAACACTTCATTTTTCTTTCACACTCTCCATCTTATTTTAATTTTGTAAAGTGATTTGGTGAATTATAACCAAAAAGCATTTGAGAAAAATTGTTCAAAACATCAATGCAAGAATAGATATGAAGACAAATCTTGTAAATTTCTTCTTCAAATTCTAAATTTTCTATTTTAAGTTTCATCTTCAAGATTTAATATCAAAGATTAAAAGGCTTTAACGATATTTCATTCGTATATCTTGAATTTGATAGTTTTTGGGATAATCTAAGCTTAAACACTCAAATAAATAACTAGTAATACAATAAATTATTTTTTAGACAAATCGATTTTTGTTATCACCATAACAATAATTAGTTAATCCCAAGAGTAATAAGTCAACTCCCTAGTTAAAACATTAAGGAAACCAAAGGAACTTTTGGGACTATAAAATACACAATCAAAATAAATACTACTGTTACTACATAAACAAGCAAATATAATATGGGTTAATCTTACAAATAGTTCATAAGGTTTACTCTCAATTTTATTTTAAGTTTTGAATTCTAAAACATCTCACAATTAGTCTTTAAAAATTTTACTCAGTTTCAGTACTGCTCATTCTGTTAACTAAGTGTTAAATATTTGACCGAATTTGTGAAAATTAGATACCAAAGTTGAAAACAATTTAAAGTCTAAAAACCAAAACAATAAATAAGAATAAAAATTAATTTCCACATGTAATTCTAAAATTTTAATTGTTTCTAATTTTAGTCTATATTTTACATAGATGCCATCAAATTTTAAAACCTAGTTAATAAAAAAATTGAAACTGAAACAAAATAAAACATCAAGATTAATTGTGTGACTAAAAAAATCAGAAGTAAAATGAGATTGAATATAAATTTCAGAGACTATTTATAAAATTAACTCTATATTTTTCTTTAAATTAAAAAAAAATGACATATAGATTCCTTAAAATATACATGAATATACATGTGTATTTCTTAGAATAAAGAAGCAAATAAAATCAGTGCTCACAGGCTCTTATTTGGTCCGACTTTTTGGACCCAAAGTATTTAGAACGAACATGATTATATTTTGTTTTTTAATTTGCATTGAAAAAGAGGAAATCTTTTTTAAATACAGAATTCCGCTGTCGTTTACGTAACGTCTCTCCGAAGATTTCACACGCATCCACACAATTATCCCACGATTCTAAATCCAACCTCAGCATTACTTTTTCTTTTTCTTTTTTTCTTTTTTCTTTTTTTCCTCTCCCAAACACGTCGGCATTACTCTTGACTAACCAGTATCTTTCCCTCCTTTTTTTTTTTCCTTTTTTTTTTCGCTCATAAATCCTTTCCTTGGCATTTGGCAACATTCTTTGTCGCGTGCAAACCGAGCCCACTTTTATTTTACCAAAATACCCTCCCTCACTCTCGTTAGTCGCGAGTATTCATACCACCACGGACAATCCGGCGCGTAACAAATTTTCGTATTTATTTTATTTTATAATTATATTATTTTTATATAGAAATTTAGATATAGTTATGCCGAAAAATACGACAGTTATACACTCAAATAACGCCTAAACAAACTTCCCTCTCCCCTAACTTCTCCTCACTCACAGCACTCAGCTGGCCCCCCCACTACCTTTTCCTCTTTTCTCTCTCTCTCTTCCTCGCCGTCGGCGTAACGGTCATATTTCTGATGATTTCGTTATTAATTTCTCTTAAATCCCACCAATAAATAGGAAAAAGGGTCTACGCGCTTCCTCTTCTTTTCTGTGTCTCTCTCCCTTCTGTCAATTTCTCTCTTTTTTATCTCTGGTTTTCTAGACTGTGTTTTGCTGATTTGGGTTGAGCTTTTTGGAAAATGAGATTTGTGAGAAGAATTTCTGAATGATTTCAATGGTGGCCGCCTTCCGTACGACGCTAAACCCTAAAACTCCTTCCCAAGGAGGAGGAGGAGGAGGGAAACCTCAAAATCCGACTAGGCCTCCTCTGCTTCCGTCGGAACCCGACAATGCTCTCCCTCCTCGCCGGTCGAAATCAAGGGAGGTCACTTCACGGTATATGAGCTCATCGACTTCGTCTTTGACTTCGACAACTTCCTCTTCTTCCTCGTCTTCCAATTCCAGGCGATGTCCGTCGCCGTTGGTTTCGAGGACGGCGCCTTCGACGCCTGCGATGACTCCGAAGCCGTCGCCGACTCCGGCTGTGAAGCGTTCTCAATCCGTGGAGAGGCGGCGGATGGCGACTCCTCGTCCGAGTTCTTTGGATTTGCGGAATTGGAGCGGAGCCGGCGGCGGAGGAGGAGGTGAGCTTTCCGCTGCGCAGAAGCTTCTGTTTGCTTCAACAAGGAGCTTATCGGTTTCGTTTCAAGGTGAGTCGTTCTCGTACCAGGTTAGCAAGGCGAAGCCGGCGCCGTCTCCTAGCGTGAGGAGAGGTACAACGCCGGAGAGGAGGAAGGTGGCGGCCGGGACGCCGACTCCGGCGAGAGGAGATCAGAGCGAGAACTTGAAGCCGACCGAGCAGCAACGGTGGCCGGCGAGGTTGCGGCAATCAAATTGCGTTAATAGGAGCTTGGATTACAACGATGAGAAGAGGAGCGGGAGTGGATCTGGTGGAAATGTGGTCAGGGCGTTGCAAAACTCCATGGAGAGCAATGCGAAATTTCTGAAAGCTCCTGAGCCTGTTGTTGAGGTCACTTCGGCAATTGGATCTGAATCACAGTCTGATCATGTGGCTTCTTCTGATTCTGAAAGTGTGTCTTCTGGTAGTACTACTCCAGGAGCACACGACGGCGTCGGTCAGGGTCAGCGAGGGACTCGAGGGTTCGTGGTGCCTGCAAGGTTTTGGCAAGAAACTAAGAACAGGTTACAGCGACCAACCGAGTCGGGCCATCCGATTTCTAGGACTCCTGCGGCGGTGAAAGCTTTGGCAGTTTCTAAGCTCGTACCGCCAAGGAAATCAATTGATAGTCCTGTTTCATCTCCTCGAGTTGTTAACAGCAAAGGGCAGTCGTCTCCTATTAGAGGCGAATTTCGGCCTGCATCACCGAGCAGGGCGGTGACATCGGTGGCGTCTTCTCCGTTGAGAGGAATGAGCCCATCTCGAGTGAGGAGTTTAGTTCCGGGCACTCCGAGGAGTAACTTGAACACGGTACCGTCAATTTTGAGTTTTGCGGCGGATATCAGAAGAGGAAAGGCAGGGGAGAACAAGATACTAGACGCACACGTATTGAGGTTATTGTATAATCGTCTCTTGCAATGGCAATTTGTAAATGCTAGGGCTGATGCTGCGAACTCGGCACAGAAACTTAATGCAGAGGTGCGGCTCTTGAACTTAATCCTCTTCGCAATGTTTATACAGCTGAATTTTTTTGCTAATTTTTATTTAATAAAACGAAGTTCTGTTGGCTTTGTTTTTGTTTTTATTAAATTGTTAAGAGGCTATAGGCATAATAGATAAAATTATAAGCCAATTTCTACTATAAACATAATAGTAAATTGTTAATTCTTAACTTGATGGTTCATGTCGATATCCTGTGAAGTTGGATGTTGTATGGTTCAGATATGGAAAATGAGTTTTTCCCAATTTTTTCAGAGATTTATTTCGACAAGTATACTATTTTCCCATATTATGTTTGCATTGGAAACCCTTAGTTGGTTAATTATAAAATGGCATTGTTGCAAGCAAAGTCACGCTTTTGGTACTGGTGAGGTGGGGAATTCTAAGCTGCTTGTTGCTGACATTCTCTCTGTACATTCTGCTACTTTATGTGGCATTTAATGGGTGGAAAGTAGAGAACTGTTGAAACATGCTGTTTTCTATCTTCTTAGGCGGTACCCTAGTTAGAAATGTCCTAGAAGAAGAGTTTTGAGTTTAATTGTGGTGGCACAAAAGATTAGGAAATCTTTGCAGCAAATTTGATGCCTTTGGGCTTTTTTGGATTTTCCGTATTAAAAATGGGGAAGATTCTTTCTGGGTGATAACAAAAAAGGTTAAGAGCTTGTTTGTTGGCCGTTTGTAGTGTGGATGGCATTAGCATTGTCGGTTGCTTACCGCTTCTCTAGGCTCATTTAGACACATTTTGGCTATGGTGCAAGTTATTGACAAGGAACTCAGAAAGGATGTTCACAGCATAGAGAACATTAGGGAGAGGATTTGACCGTCCATATTTTAATTGTATAGGTTGGGTGGATAGATGTGGGGATTTCTTTAAGAAGAAAATTTTCAACTAGGGTCTTTAACACCTAGTTTGTGTATTGGTCAATTGTTTTTCAAAAGGTGTTTATAAGAAAGTGTATTATCGAAACTGAGGATCTTGCCTTCTACCACCGTGGCTTGATGAGCTATCATCAATAGGGGTTCACTTGCTTGACATGGAACTTCTTTACGGAGATTTGCACACTAACATATTTACAGTCTGATTATTAGAGGAGCCGGTAGAAGGAAATCAAGCGAATTTAACCTAAATTTAACAATCAATATATTTGATAATATATGTAGCAAGAAAGAACCATCTGATTCATGTTTTATATTACGTATCATTTAAGCGGAAACAACTTGCTTAAATTTCTTTTTTCTATCAGAGAAGCCTTTACAATGCTTGGGTCACAATTGCAAAAATCCGTGAATCTGTTAGAGCAAAACAAACTGAATTACAACTGATGAGGCAAACTCTGAAGCTAATTTCGGTCCTCAAGGAGCAGGTAAGACTTTTTGTTAAATTCTGCCTCTCTCACTTATTGAGGTCCGTCTTGATTTTTCCTGATCTTCTAATAGTTGAAGGCGCTTTTATTTTTATTTTTATTTTTATTTTTTGGTAAAACGATTCTGAAGTCCTTTGCTTCTATCCCTGATATCTTCAATTTAGCATTGAACTTCATTAGTCCTTTTAGGACAGGATCTCTCCCTTTTTTTTTTCCCCCGATTGTTGAGAGCCTGAATTTTTCTTTTTTGGTCCATATAATTATTTTTCTTTTTGGCAATCAGATTGAAAGTCTTTTGTACTTACAGTAAAAATTCAATTATTTCTCTCAATTAAGCATAAAGATAAATAGGTTTTTATGGTTGATAGAATGTCTTGCCTTAACTCTTATTGTATATTGTGATGATTATAGATGGTATATTTGGAAGAGTGGTCTCTTTTGGATCGGGATTATACTGGTTCTTTGTCAGGAGCCATTGAAGCTTTGAGGGCTAGCACTCTCCGCCTTCCGGTTATTGGTGGGGCTAAGGTGTGTGTTATTTCTTCTCAACTTTTTCCTTTCTACCTCCCTTACTGCTTTTTTTCTTTTTTCCTCTTTTAGGCAGTTCCCCATTATCGGGGATATTCGTTGCCCAATAAGCTACCGTAGTATGGGTTATTAGTTCTTCCTTTTCGTTTCTACAGGTAGAGATCCAGAATGTACAGGATGCTATTTGTTCGGCAGTTGATGTGATGCAGGCGATGGCATCATCAATATGCTTATTGTTACCAAAGGTGATTCTCTTTCGCTATAGGTGCATAGGATAATAGCATAGGATAATACTTGATAGGTATATAAGTACTTATACCTATGTAATGTATGTAAATAATGTACATGCACACATAGGCATATAATCAATTTTTCCTTTTGGTGTTTCCTCTTGAATGTGACGCGTTATATAGTTCTAGGACAAAGTGATAGGGAAAAGGGATACCTTTCAAATATATCTTTTGAGCTCCTTATGCTAATTTTTTAGAATATTGCCCTTATAGTCTGTCAAAACTGATGGTCTCTTTTTTCTTTCTTTCCCATTTTATGGTTTATCTTTGTTTAATTTGATTCGACTATTTCTTCCTTTTTTTCATGCAAATTGTGTTTAAACCGTGGAGGTTGCCTTACTGCCAATTGGTTTGTTCCAACTATCACGTAATGTTTTGCAATTTCTAAAGTTACTTTTGCTTATAATTACTCACTTCTCATTAATCAAATCAGAATATGAATATTTGTAAATCCTAAACTGTAAATCCTCTTTGGACGTAGGGTAGTCGTATATTATGCTAATGAAAATTTAGCAACTCATCTGGTACCATTTCTTGTTGATAGGTTGGGGAAGTCAACTCTCTGGTGGGTGAACTTTCAAATGTAACAGCAAAGGAGCATGCTATGCTTGGTCAGTGCAAAAATCTTTTATCAACGGTTGCAGCTTTGCAGGTGACTGTTCCATTCTCACGCACTGTAAAGTAAATCTCATTTTAGGCGCATAAGTTATCTTACTTTTTTTAGGTAAGATTAAAATTATGGGACTCTACTCTGATCTCCCCTTTTAGAGCTGTGTGCTCATAGGATGATCATCATAGTCATCCACATTTTAAAAAGAAAATTAAATTAATTATTTCCATACGAATCCCATTTATAATCGGCTAGTCACAAAGTCATAATTAAACATTCAAATTCCAATTAAATGGGAAGAAATAAATTTAGGGCCTCGTTCGTTTTACCGTTCGAATCATAACTCAATTTTTTTGTTACAGTATTTTCTCTCATAAAAATTTAAATTTAAGTTTTTTGTGCTACGATGTTTTCTCTCACACAAGTTCACTTTTCAACTCAAGTTCTCAAACTTGAATCAACAAAACAAACGAGGCTTTAATTTATTCCTACGCTTTTTTTTTTTACTTTATAACATGTACATTGCGAATTTATAACCAGGTGAAGGAAGGCAGCCTCAGAACACATCTTTTACAACTAAAAAGTGTGCAAACCTGACTGCCAAAGTGTAAAGCTCACATCATATGACTGCTCACATTCGAAAGCTAACAACAATCCAATGGATTTTTTTTTTTTTTTTTTTTTTGGTTTCTTTTGTGGGATTTGTGAAACCATGGTTATAAATAAGGGAAATTAGACGGTTTGGTTTATAGTAGCATAAGAGTGCTCTGTTTTGTTTTTTGTGGGATGAATGAAATTAAAAATGTCCGATGTATTTTAGTTGTCAATATCAAATTAGATTTCATACATGTACTTTGGTCATAGAACAGAGGGGAATGTATATGTAAATATCTGCAGTGATATATCTTTAAATTCTCTCTGAGTCAACCTTATATCGATTTAGATTCAAGTTTTTATCTGTTCTCGTGGATAGCTCCCAATAGAAATAAAAGATTGGAAAATTTAAGTACTCCGCGTTTTAGTGTAATTATTTTTTAATAACCTGTATTTTTTGTAATTTTGAATGATGTGTAATTGTTTTTTTAATAACTTGTGTTTTTTGTAATTTTGAATTGGTACACTGACATTTTAAGGAATCATTCTTTAGTTTTGTGTCCGTTTGGTTGGAAGATTCGTTCTCTGATTCGAATCATGGTTCATAGTTCGTTACAGTATTTTTTCTCACAAAAAACACACGTAAATAAAAAATGGTTCTAATCTATAAATCAAACGGGTTTTTTTGGGATTTCAAATTGTCATATCTATTCTCATGCTTAATTTTTCAAAAATTTATATATTTTTAATCTGTTTAGAAAAAAATAAATTCTTGACAAATTAACTATAAGGGTAGAAATGATATTTTACGTCTTAAAAAAGGCCACAAGATACTAAAAAATGATTTCTTAAAAAGTTAAACACCGATTCAAAATTATCAAAAATACAAGATATTAAAAAATAATTATGTTAAAACACTTACAAGATATTAAAAAATAATTATGTTAAAAACACTGAGAATCGATATGAAATTTTCCCTAAAAAGTTTGTAGGCTCTTCCCCTGGCCTTGGCTATGTATTTTTCTACAAATAAGTGCTACTGGTTTCATTCGTTGGTATTGCTTGGTGAAAATTCCGTGATTATTTATGCGACCTTAAACATTGTATATAAGTGTTATATGTGAAAGGATAATGTTTAAGGATAATAAAAAAAAAAAAAAAGATGTTCGTAATGAATTTAATTAAAGCTCAAAATCTTTAATTAAAACTTTATTAATACATGTCATTCTCATTTAGAATGGAACAGTGTTATCCACACTGTTAATATGGTGAGATATTAAATAAGTGTATTTCGCATAATGAGATTATGTGGAACATAGACACAGACACAATATGAATTTCTAATCATTTCTGTTAAGTTTAGAAATTCTAAGTGAATCTATCGACGGTCATATATAGAATGATCTTAATCCTGAGTTCTTAACAAACTCCTATTTATGGATTTGTGTCTTTTGATTTACTCAATACGGATTCTGAGATCCTGAATCATATTCCATGTATTTTGGAGACATAATGAAGTAGGTAGCTGATTAACGCCCAAAAGTGATATTTACAAGCGGTCAATTGTAGCACAGAAGGACGGTCGTATCCACAGAGAGATAATAAAATAACAAGAATGATTAACAGAATAAGAGCGTTAGAGAAAAGTGAATTAAAGAAAAATGAGAGTTTTTGAGATTTTTGTTGCAAATAAAATAAAAAGGAGAAAATCTGTATGAAGAAAACGGTAAGGTGTCGAGAATCCCTAATGCTTCGTTCACCAATTCAAGTTTTGATTCACAAAATAAAATAATCGAATAAATTAAATCTCTATGTTGGCTCAGAAAATATTATTATTACAAGTTATCTAAAATCGACAATATATCAATCTGACAATATTGCAGTAAAAGACAATTTATAAAATAATTTGAATAACAAAACATTGTGTGACATAATTACATAAGAAAAGCGTGACTGAACTTATATAAAAATTGGCACACAATATTTTGAAAAGTAATAGAAAAATAGATGAGATTTAATTTATTCAGATGTTAAACTTTACAGCACAAGGAATCAAAACCCCAAATTGAGTCGCTCAACAAAAGTTCATCTCTAACCTCACCAAGAAAACTCTAGCCTATCTTGCAAAACATTCTCACAAGTTCTAGAGAGAAAATATGAGACTGACAGCAAGACGACAGAAAACTGAATATTTAAAGCTTTTCAAAACCTTAGGCCAACCCCTCTATTTATAGTGTTCAGAGGTTGCCTGTCAAATAAGGAAATAAATTGTAAAACTAGAAAATTACAAAAGAAAAGGAAACAAAATAAAATTACACATAAATTAGGAGAAATCACATATTTGATTTGCGGAAGAAATCTGGTAATTTCCTCTGATTTTTGGGGAAGGAATTCAGATTCAGCACCAAATGGGACACGTGTCGCAACGTGATTGGAAGTGAGGAGGAAACGTGCCACGTGTCACATGCGGATTGGTTGGCGTGTGCTGGCGCGGTCAGAATGGAGGACCTGCGTTGGACAGGTGGCGCACGCGGAGAGGGCAGCAGGTGTACTGCTGTCGTGCGAGACCCACGCAGATTGAAGCTCGGACGCGCGCTAACGGCTGCGTGGAAGGAACGCGCCCTGTAAGGTGCGGCGTGCTGGTGACGCGCGAGGCGTGAGATGGTGGGAAGAAAAGGGCGCGGATTCCTGCGCTGAGTGGTGGGGCCCACGAGCTGATGTTGGCTCGGCTAAGCTGCTCGGCTCTCTCTCTCTCTGGTCGGCTCGGCTAAAAAGCATGGCTTGGCTGGTTGAAACTTGAAAACATGGCTTTCATGGCTTATTTTTGTGTAGCTTTTTACACTACTTTTTATCTGTAAATAATTAAGCAAAAACTAGACAAATTCCAATTAAAAATATTATGAATAAAAATGATGGAATTGTTCAATTAAAGCTTAAATATTTTAATATTATGTAAATCAAAAGCAGTATTCAATGTGCATTTTCATGCACTAATCAGTAGCCAGGAATGTTATTATACGAGATGGAATTCATTCCTTCTTGAGAAAGAAGCAGATAAATAATTCTCTTGAGTGTTGATTCGGTACTTGGATTAGTGAGAGCGCTCTGGTTCATGAATGTGTTTTATGAATCACTATCCATTAGAGAATCAATGGTACTTAAGGATGAAGATATAATTAGAGAGGTTAACGGATTTTACCTAGCTCTAATTATGAATTATTTATGGAAGATTGATCTATATGCAGTAACTATATCAAATGGACACTTCATAGTTCAGAAGTAATTTATATCTATAATTTTGAGAGTGCAATTCCAAGTTTATAGTGGAGTAACTATTGTAATTAATAGAATTAATTAATTAATTAAAGTGTTTAATTAATTATTAATTTTATTGAAGCTCGGGATTATAGGTCCATTAGTCCCCGCGCCGTCCTAGTAATTCTACCAGACACAAAGGGCAAATTAAGAATTTTAGAATTACAAAATTCTAAAATTAAACACTAAAAAATAATTAATTGAGAATTAATTATTATTTAAATAATGTGATTATTTAAAGTTGAATTTGAATTATGAACACAATTTAAATTTATCCTTTTAAACTTATTTGATAAGTTATTCAATTTATAATTCAAATTAATTTAAGTTTGACTTAAATTGGAATTTGAATTTGAGTCAAAATTGGATTACAGGATAAGTGATAATTTTCTCTTCCTTCCTTATCTAAAATTGGCGCCACACAAAGGGATGAGATCTTCTATAGGTGGCCGGCCATACTAGGATAAAGGATTGAAAAATTTTGTTCTAAATTCAAATAGGAGATAATTAACAAACTTTATCTTGGAGATAAAGATTGGATTCCTTCTAGGAGTTTAACTTCTACTCTATAAATAAGAGAATGATAGAAAATTGTGAGACACAATTTTTGACCTATATTTTAAAGGGTGGCCGAATTTCTCTATAGAGTGGGAAGGACAAATTTTTCTCCAAAAAAATTCACATTGTGCATGCGTTGGTATTTGCAAAAATTTGAGTGTTTATTCTAACCCGTTTTGTCCCATGTGTGCCCACACACACGTCTTCGTGGATTCTAAGAATTCACGTGGAAGACATTGGTTTTCTAAACACAAGACTTTGGAGCAAGGATTGTTCGTGACCAAAGAACTCAAGTTATCATCCTAATCGGCCACTAGGTATTATTCCTAATTGAGTTCTTAATAAATAAATTAAAGTGATTAATTTATTCGTGTATAAATTGATATAATCTATAGAGTATCTCAAAGGTTTTATTAAAATTTTTGTTATACTTGATCCGCTATCCCCACGCTTCCGCATCCGAATTCGATTCGGAAACCAACACCACCTCCTTCAGGGGGGTCGAGGTCCTACGAGGTACCCACTACTCGGAGTACCCTCCCAAAAGGAAAAAGATGTGTCTGTCAGGTTCGGTTCTTCTTAGTTGGGTTGGGCAGGTTCGACCAGAAATGCTATGCTTACACACAAGACTACCCCTCTTCCCGAAAGCTTCGCGGGGACGACTTTACGACGACGGACGACCGCCCGTAGGGGGTTTACTGCACAAGGCCTCGGAACTCTTCCGGGTCCTTCGGCAAGCAAAACGAGGGTTTCGAATACTCTCGGGCTCGATCGGAGTCCACTAGCCGCGTCTGGTGCGCACTGGTGCACATGCTGGTCGAGCGTCGTGCACGTTAGGTGGTCTGGGCGCGTGCGCGAGGCTCTCTAGGCGCGCGGGCTGGGCGCACGTGGGGCTGTCTATCCAGGGCAGTCTGGGCAGTTTTTTGGCTAGGTGTCCAGGGCTGCATGGGGTGATTTTTTGGGCTTCTTTTAACTCAAAATTAAAACCCTAATCTATCCAAAGCCTAGAATTACAATAATTCTAATCCCGAATAAAAATTACAAATAATTTAATTTGAACGAATTTAATGCGATCCATGAAACCATATAATTGATGACCAAATCCATCATCCATACATTCATCAACATGAATTAAATATAAACACCCATAAATGCAAGTGCCTACCCACACATACATACATAATTAAATATCACATATTTAATATATTAATTTTGATTATCACATAATCGGAGCATAAATTAATATCGTCTATAGACCGCTCTGATACCAATTGTTGGTTTCTGAATCGAATTTGGATGCGGAAGCGTGAGGGTAGCGGATCGTGTATAACAAAACTTTTCACAAAATTTTTGAGATACTCTATAGATTATATTCATTTATGCACGAATAAATTAGTTACATTAAATTATTTAATAAGAACTCAATTAGGAAATATACTTTGTAGCCG